AATTATACTAATTACCACAGACCACCATTTGTTATTTTAATGTTGATAATGTTTCATGATTCAGCTTTGTGAGTAATTATTACTTAATTATTATTAATACATAATGAGCTCATAATTGCTGACTGGCCTGGCCACCAATTGGTGTCTATCCTTCTCGTAGAAGGGGGGGAAAAATAGCACCGAGCTGGCTCAAAGGGGCTGTTCTTGGCAATGAAATGGAGTAGCCCTCTGTGGTGGTCTCGGTAGTCCAGTTCTTGAACCAATTGGGTCCACACTATTAATGGTGGACCATATGTCTGCAAAGAATTAACACTTGACATTAACTGTCTCTACCTAACGTTGCATTTAACATAATAAAAATAATACTTGCCTATCATATAGCACTTTACTACGTCATCTCAAAGTGCTTCACTGATATAACTGTAAAGGCGGAATGACTGTGCGTTTTGGGGGGCAGGCATGGCAGCTAATTTGCGCAGTGGTACCACAAACAGCCATAAGGTGAATGGCCAACACTATCCGGGGAATTGTTGGCCAGGACACCAGGAGAGAGAAACTCTCTTCTCTAAGTGTGGTGCTCCTTCCCCCCCCACTTCCCCACCATCCCCCACCACCCCCCAGCACCATGCAGGACCATCCCCTGGACTGTGAGCTCTAAGCCCCAGAAGTGGGCAGCATGAACAACAATTCACATTTACACAGCACCTTTCACAAGGTGAGTGGCTGGGAGCGAGTGACACAGCGAGTGGCTGAGAATGAGTGGCTGAGAGCGATTGACACAGCGAGTGGCAGAGTGAGTGACTGAGAGCGAGTGGCTGAGAGTGAGTGACTAACAGTGAGTTGGTGAGTGAGTCGGTGAGAGGAAGTGGCTGAGAGTGAATGGGTGAGAATGAATGACTGAGAGTGAGTTGGTGAGAGTGAGTGACTGAGAATGAATGAGTGAGAGTGAATGGCTGAGAGCGAGCGACAAACCGAATGACGAGCAAGTGACTGAGAACGAATGTCAGAGTGAGTGGCTGAGAGCAAGTGGGTGAGAGTGAGTGGGTGAGAGTGAGTGACACAAGGAGTGACGGATAGCGAGTGAGTGAGAGGCTGAGAGTGAGTGACTGAGCACGAGTGACAGAGCAAGTAACTGAGAGCGAGTGGCTGAGAGTGAATGGCTAAGGGTGAGTTGGTGAGAGTGACTGAGAACGAGGGTCAGAGCGAGTGGGTGAGTGAGTGGCTGAGAGCGAGTGGGGGAGAGTTAGTGGGTGAGAGCAAGTGGCTGAGAGCGAGTGGCTGAGAGCAAGCGACACTGCGAATGACAGAGCGAGGAACTGAGAGTGAGTGACGAGTGAGTTGGTGAAAGTGAGTGACTGAGAGTGAGTGGGTGAGAGTGAATGGGTGAGAGTGAGTGGCTGAGAGTGAGTGGGTGAGGGCGAGTGGGTGAGGGCGAGTGGGTGAGGGCGAGTGGGTTAGAGCGAGTGACACGAGTGGCAGAGTGACTGAGAGTGAGTGACAGAGTGAGTGGCTGACTGATAGTTCTGGTTTGAATAACAGATGGAGACCATAGTAGAAGCACAGGAAGTTTATTCCCCGCCAGAGCAATTCGCACCCTCACCCCACCCCACCGGGGATTCACCAACGCGTTACACATCACCGCACACTTAGTCAGATACCAACACAGCGCAGCTCAAATAACACAGACTGAGCCTGAAAACAGCCACTGGGGAGAACGTGAGGCTCACACTGCAGTCACCGATGATCATGTCGGTGCTCCTTTGGGTCTCGCTGGTCTTTTTTTGCCCAGCCGGGTGTCTGACCCACGCGGAAACCCATCACCATTGCTTAAACGAATACAAACCAAGCTGAGAATTCCATGCATCCCACCTACACATGGAAATCCCAGAGTTAGATTGTTGGAATGGAATACCATTCTCTCTCTCTCTCTCCCCCTGGAGGGATACATCCCATTTACCTGATTCCGGAGAGTATTAGGCATCTTAGGCTGGCAAGAGCCAAGGCTTGGGGACCCCCATGCAGGTCTGACCTGGGCCAAGCAGCAAGGCCGCAATCCCAGACCCCAAAATTCCGCCTATTCTTCGCCTAAAGACTCACGCTTTGAAATGTAAGATCGGACAGAGTTGTGGGAAATTCGTAAAGTCAGTCTCTCGGTTTGGAAGCTGTTTTTTTAAAGAAACTGCAGAAAGAATGCAGTTAATAATAATAATAATCCTTGCATGTGATATAGCACCTTACCACATCGTTGAGACGTCTCGAAGCACTTCACAGAATATACTGTAAAGTGATTTGATTCTGTATTTAGTGGGTGAAACGTGATAGCCAATTGTGCGCAGCAGTGTCCCACAAAGAGTCATGGATTGAGTGACAGATTTCTTTCAAGCGATTATTAACCCTGGAAATTGTGAGCGCGCTAACCACTACATTACAGGACTCCACGATCATTTCAGTTAAGGGGGTTTTCCAAAACACCTGATCTTAAATTTGCAGCCAACGGTCTTAAGGCTAAGAGTAGATGCAAGTCAGTTCCTGCATAGATTGACAACCTACAGTTTATGCAGCGTGAATGTCTCACAGGTGAGGTCGAGGGAGTTCAGGTTGAGGAGAGGAGATTTTAAAGTGGGGACTAAGCAGAGCGCTCTTTCTGAGAGCCCAGACAGGCTCCGAGGGCTGAATGGCCTCTTTCTGCGCTTATAGCGTACTAGGATTCCACGAATGTTAATTTTTTTTTGCTGAATGTCAGAATCCCTTAACAAATTCTGTGCAATCGTAAACGTTGAGACAAAATGGTCTTACTGCTCAGGCTAGGTGGAATTTGGGGCCTCTGATTGACCCCCGTCTCTGCTGGATATGTGTGTGTGTCTATTAAATATATTTACTTTGAAAATTTTCTCTCCTTACTGATTATGTCGGTGGGATTGTCGGTCAGGGCTTCGGGAGAAAGAAACTAAACTCCCTTCTCTTTTCCGACAGTGCACAGGATCTCTGTGTCAGAAGGTTGTGGGTTCAAATCCCAAATCGGGGTTTGGGAGTCACACAGTCTAAACTCACGTTCCAATCCAGTGCTGGGAGGGTGNTGGGGGCGGTGGCACAGGGGGTGGCATTGTCAAGGGTGGCGTCCATTTATATCGCGCCCTTCACATGGGGTAGAGTCTTGGAGCCAGTGCTGATGAGAAAGTGTCACATGTAGTGTGGGCACCAATTTCCGCAGCCAAGGAGAAAAAGGAAGGCAGGGTGACGGTCACCTTCCCCCTCCCTCCCGGCTGCTCAGAGTCATGCTCCACCCCCGTCAAGCGCTCTGGGTCACTACTCTGCGTGAGGGGCCAAAGCCCACCCAAACCTTGACCCACCCCCCCCCCCCTCGGCTCTGCTCATAATATCATAATCTTGCAATTAATATCGTGCCTTATCATGTCCTCAAGGCACATCAAAGTGCTTGGGCACTTGGTTGGGCTAATAATATTAATAACCCTTGCATTTGACATGGCGTCTTATCCCGTCGTTGAGACGGCTCATTCACAGAATATACAGAAAAGTGTATATATAGGATATGCTGTAAGGAGATACGGCAAAGTGGATTGACTGTGTATTTTGTGGGCAAACAAGAGCCATCAAGAGAGGGATTTTACACTGGCCCCCAGTCACCCCCACGTGGTCACATCAGCAGCGAGTCCAAGTTCCCACACCTGAGCAGCGCCTCGCAACAACAACAACAAAATCAAAATTACATTTGTTTGGCGCCTTTCGTGTCGGGAGGAGGTCCCAAGGCGCTGTACAGGTGCTGAAGGCAAGGACGAGGATTTTGAATTCACTACACAGCATAGTCAATATTGCAACCCCTCCCCCCACCGCCGTCTATTTGTTTTGGGGGTCAGCTAGGCGTCTGACACCGTGAAACCCATCACCGTGCTTTACAGTATCCAAACCAAGCTGAGAATTCCATGCATCACATGGAAATCCCACCCCACGCTTGGGAGCTGGCTTTCCCACCCAATCCCATCCCTGGAACCTGGGCTGCTCCCCGATGTTCGGAGGTCAGCAGCTGGGGGAGGCGGGGGAGGAGAGCCTGTTCCTGCTCGAATCAGTCCCTAATAATAATAATAATCCTTGTATTTGATACAGAGCCTTATCACATCGTTGAGACTCCTCAAAGCGCTTCACAGGGTACACTGTAAAGTGGAATGACTGCATATTGTGTTGGCGAAAGCCACGGGAACAGGAGGCCATTCAGCCCCTCGAGCCTGTTTTCAACTCCATTTACCCTCAACACCATTTACCTCCATGTTGCTCGACACCCTAACAACCAGAGCAGTCACCGTCTCGTCACCGTGACATGCAGGGGAGGTGCGGCCAGTGAGAGCGACAAGATGGAGGCCGTTCGTTCAACTCCACATGGTGCAGGATATTGACTGTCCCCACGGCAGGAACTCAGCATTCACTCCCCCTTGTCTGTCCCTCATTCCCTCCCCTTCGTTTCCTCCCCTCTCCCTCCCATCCCCCCCACACCCCCCATGTCATCCTGTCCCGGGCTCCCTCCCACACGCTCCCCCTCACTCCCCATCCCCTTCCCCCTCACTCCTCCTCTCCCGCACTGCCACTCGCTCCCCCTCACGACCCCTCCCCTCACTCTTCCATGATGCCCCTACCCCCTTTCTCCTCCTCCCCCTCCCCCCCATCCCCCTCGATCTCCCTGAACCTTGCTCCCCCTCCCCTCTCTCTCCTCCCCCTTGCTCCCCCTCCCTGCCCCACGCTCCTCCTCGCTCCCCCTCCCCCACGTTTCCCGCTCCCCCTCACTCCAAGTCTCTGCGGTGAATATCAATAGCTGTTCTTATCCTATTGCCTCCCTTCATCCCTCGGCCTCCAGACCTGGTGTAGCACTGACCGTCCTCCTGACATTCCCCTCCCAATCATTTTTGGCGGCGGTGGCAGGAGGGGACGGGGGGGGGGAGGGTGGGGGGTGTGAGGGGGGAGGAAAGAGGGGAGCAAACCGCACGGGGGGGGGGATCGCGCCAAGCAGATTCCGTCACAAACGGAACGACAACCGGGAATTTTTTTTACCTTTCGAAAATAAACCGGGATTCGATGTTCTCGATCCAGGAAAGCACAAAGATCGGACTTGAAACGGTTACAAAGGCTCATTCGGACCGACCGCAAATAAACCAGACGAGACTGACTGACTGACTGAAAATGTTGGACACGGTCTCTCGAAAACTCTGAGCCACGATCGACGCTCTCGGCAGTAGGAGACAGAGAGTTCTGAGGACACAGTTGTTGCTGGGCCTGAGATGGAAGGACGGAGCCAGACCTCAGGCCTGAAGCCAGTGCAAGAGGCCGAGCAGCACAGTGACAGCGGACAACCCACAGACCTGCGCTCTTCCTGCTGTCGAGGAACTCCCTCCAAAGTAGGCGATCTGAGCTGCTCCCAACAAAACACACAGAGAAAGACAATAATAATAACAATACTCGCACTTGATACAGCGCCTTATCACGCCATTGAGGGGTCTCAAAGCGCTTCACAGAATATACTGTAAATTGAATTCACCGTATGTTTTGTGGGCAAAACACAGCAGCGTCCCCACAAACAGTCATGGATTGAGTGACCCAATTATTATTGCACTTTTGGAGGGATTATTACCCCCAGAAAAGCTAACAACCAGGTCCCTACTTACCACTAGGTAAACAGAGGTATGTGGGGAAAGGAAACTTGCCCAAGTTTGGCCCTGCCGGGAATCAAACCCGGGTCCTCTCGCTTGAGAGGCAAGTGCTCTAACCACTGAGCTACAGGACTCCTATCTGGAAGATTGTTGGTGAGGATGTCAGGAGAAACTCCATTTTCTCTTTGAATAGAGTCACAGTACCTTAATGTCCATCCAAGTGCTCTGGGACGCTAGCCCACGTGAATGCGCGAGTTGTTGTTGTTGTTAGTGTCTTGCTGAAGGCCAGAGTTGGAAATGATAAATAAAAAGCACATCTGCAGCGAAAACCTGTTTGCCAATTCTCTCCTCGCTCTCGGATATTCACATAAACAAGAAAACTACTAAACAGTGAGAAATGTGAATATCTCCACGGTGTAGTGAGTAAGATGAGAGAACGAAGGAAGCCTCTGACCTGTAATCCGTGTTGCTGTAAAAGCTTATTCTGTAATAATAAATAATAAAGCTGTTCCAACACCTATAATAATAATCCTTGCATTTGATATAGCACCTAATCACGTCTTCGAAACGTCTTAAAGCGCTTCACAGAATATACTGTAAAGTGAATTAATTCACTGTATAGTTTGTTGGCAAAACATAACATCCAAACATCCCACAGAGCTTTACAAGATGTTGCTGTCAAGAGGAGTGACTGTGTATTTGTACATTGACCTGGCAGCCAATTTGCAGAGTCCTGTAGCTCAGTGGTTAGAGCACTCACTTTGCAAGTGAGAGACCTGAGTTCAATTCCAGGCAGAGGGCGAAACCTTGGGCAAGTTTCCTTACTCCACACACCTAATAATAAATCCCTCCAAAACCAAAAACAATAATAAATTGGTCATTTTCAATCTACGACTGTTTGTGGGACATTGCTGTGCGCAATTGGCTGCCGCGTTCGCCCACAAATATACAGTCAATTCACTTTACAGTGTGTTCTGTGAAGCGCTTTGGGACGTCCTCCCGACGTGAAAAGCGCTATATCAAATGCAAGGATTATTATTATTATTAACTATGTCCCAGAAACAGCAGGGAAATGAATAACCAATTAATCTGGAGGATTGTTGGCCAGCACACCGGGAGAGAGAGAGAGAGACTCCCTCTCTGGTTTTGTATAGCATTAAGATATCTTTAACAGACGCTTGAACAGGCGCAGACAGGACATTGGTTTGAATTCCAGTCTAAAGGACGACATCTCTGACCCTGCGGCTCACACCCCTCCCCCAGCACTGTGCTGGAGTGTCAGCCTAGACTGTGAGCTCAAGCCCCCGATGATGGGGTTCGAACCCACGACCTTATGATAATAACAATAAACTTTGCATTTGATACAGCGCCTTATCACGTCGTTGAGGCGTTTCAAAGCACTTCACAGAATATAGTGTAAAGTGGAGTGACTGTGTATTTTGTGGGTGAAACGCAGCAGCCAATTGCCACAGCAGTGTCCCACAAACAGTCGTGGTTTGAGTGACCAAATTTTTGTTTGTTTTGGAGGGATTATTATCCCCAGAAAGTGATCCATCAATTGACTAACAACCAGAGGCGTGCGGAGTAAGGAAACTTGCCTAAGGTTTCGCCCAGCCTGGGAATCGAACCCGGGTCCTCTCGCTTGCGAGGCAAACGCTCTAACCACCACACTAAGGGACTCCACCTTCTGAGCCCAAGGTAAGAGTGTGAGTATCTGAGCCACGCTGGCACAGCACCTGAGCAGATTGAGATAAACGGTTTAGTGATCGACTGAGTTGAAGACTGGGATACTGACCTACACAGGCAGTGTCGTCCTCATTGGGTTCATAGCCTCGCTTGCATTTCCTGTTGTGGCGACATCTGTAGCCTCCGTACACGTTAATGCAGAAGGGCCTGTCCCTGGAGCACACTGGGGGAAACTGGACACACTCGTCCACATCTGCGTGTGGGAAAAAGATTGCAGGCGGCTTGGTTTGTGATGTTTCTACTGAACACAGCGAGTCTGTGACCTTTCATAACAAAACGCCTTCCCTGCGATAACTAACTAACGCAACCAACCAATTAACCACCCAACCAAATAACCACCCAACCAACCAATTAACCACCCAACCAAACCAAATAACCAACCAAATAACCAGCCAACCAACCAACTCACTCCCTCACTCACTGACTAACTAATGTTTCCTGAACACAGAGTCCCAGGATCTTTAACGTCCGGCTGAATGGGGACAGGTGGGATCTGGGTTTAACGTCTCATCTCATCTAATCTAATGTGGCAGCCCCCCCACTCGCCCCCCCTCCTCTTCACCCCTACTCATAGCGTCAGCCTGGACCATGAGCTCAGATTCCCAACCTCCTTTGGGCTCCAACCCACATCCTGGAGGTGAGATCTCAGTGAGAACCCAGGGGAGAGGGGAAGGTAAGGGAGAGGAGGGGCAGGAGAAGAAGGTGAGGGGGAGAGTTGTAGGAGAGGGAGGTGTGGGGGGAGAGGGAGGGGTGGGTGTGGGGGGAGAGGGAGGGGTAAGTGAGGGAGGGGTAGGTGTGGGGGGCTGGACCTGGCTGCACATAGCAATAAATAAACTCAGCCAACTCACCTACACATCGGCTGTTTTCATCAGCAATAAATCCTTCACCACACTGTGGGGGGAACAGACAGATAGTCAGACAGAGAGAGAGAGAGAGAAAGCACAGTCACCACTCACAGTCTTTGCTGCTTGTTCCAGCTGCTGCTGATAATAACGAACCTTGAAGTTGATTCAGCCCCTTATCACACGACAACGTCTCAAAGCGCTTCACTGGATTTCACCGTGAGGTGCAGTGACTGCGTGTATTTTGTGACAGAACACGGCAGGCGATTTGTGCACGGAAAAGTCCCCCAAACAGCCATTAAGTGAGTGAACAATTTTATTTGGGGGACTGTCGGCCAGGACACCGAGAGAGAGAGAGAGAAAAACTCTCTTCTCTTTTCGGATAGCGCCGCAGCCCGTAAACTGATATTGACACTGGATATAATCCAGGATTAGACAAACAGAGAGACACACGCTGTTTCTATTACCATAATGGGGCCCAGTCCCATATACTGTGAGGGTATTGCACTGAAATAATCGAGGAGAGACAGACAGACAGAGAGAGACAGAGAGAGAGACAGCGACAGAGAGAGACAGAGAGAGGAGAGCAGCCCACAAACCTGGATCTGCGTGGCTCTGAGCTGTGCCCCCTCCTGTGGGTACTTGATCTCCAGCACAGAGTTCATCTCACCCTGGGCGATGGCACGAGAGGCAAACCTCCCATCTGGCCAGGTCACCTCCAGGTGTGTGGCGTCATCTTTACCTGTTTCAACATCAGATCAGCAGCAAATGGAAGCAGGACAATGATATCGATTATTGATCGTAATATCATAATCGTGTCAGCCTGGCGCAGTGGTAGCGTTCTCTCTCACCCTCTCAGTCAGAAGGTTGTGGGTTCAAGCCCCCACGTCAGGACTTGGAATCGCATAGTCTAAGCTGACCCTCCGATGCAGTGCTGGGGGGGGGGGTAGGCTGTTGCATTGTCGGAGGTGCCGTCCTTCAGATGAGACATTAAACTGAGGTCCCGTCTGCCTGTTCGGGTGGATGTTAAAGATCCTACAGCGCTATTCGAAAAGAGAAGAGAGTTTCTCTCTCTGTGTGTCCTGCCCAACAATCCTCCAAATAAAATTGGTCACTCGCTCCACCACTGTTTGTGGGACGCTGCTGTGCATAATTGACTATCGCGTTTCGCCCACAAAATACAAGTCAATTCACTTTACAAAGCTGTGAAGTGCTTTGAGACGTTTCAATTGTGTGATAAGGCGCTATATCAAATGCAAGGATTGTTATTATTATCAATCCCTGCATTTGATATAGCGCGTAGAACTTTGCAGGTTTCACAGGAAATTGCTGCCAAATGTAGCAACTGTGGCCATTTTGTCTATAGAACATCCATGAAGTAAATGACCAATTTTGAAGGGGATTGTTGGCCAGGACACCGGGGGAGAGAGAGAGAAACTCCCTTCTCTCTAGGATCTTTAATGTCTACCTGAACAGGCAGATGGGACCTCGGTTTCATACCCCAGACACGGCACAGCACCTCTGACTCTAGCCCTGCCATACAGTGTCAGGCAGCTCTGTGGCTCAAAGCCCAAACACTGGCTCGAACTCACAAACAACAACAACAATATAACCCCACGTATAGAGGGAGAGAGGATCATAGAATGTTACGGCACAGAAGGAGGCCATTCGGCCCATCGAGTCTGTGCGGCTCTTTGACAGAGCAACTGACTTTTATTAACCCCACTCACCAGCTTTCTCCCCATAACCCTGCAAACCCATCTTCTCCAGATACCTATCCAGTTCTCTCTTAAAAGCTGTTATCGAATCGGACTTCACTGTCCTTTCGGGCGGATCATTCCAAATTCTAACAACTCCCTGAGTGAAAAAATTTCTTCTAACCTCTCCTCTGCTTCTTTTGGTAGATATCTTAAGACTGTGACCACGGGTCACAGACACACCTACAGCGGAAACAGCTTTCCCCTATCTCGCCTGTCGAAACCTTTCATGATCTTGAAGACCTCTATCAGGTCTCCACGTAACCTTCTCTGCTCTAATGGGAAAAGTCCTAACTTCTCCAGCCTGTCCTCATAGCTAAGGTCCCCCATTCCTGGTATCATTCTCGTGAATCTCCTCTGCACCCTTTCCAGTGCCTTAATATCCTTCCTGAGGTACGGTGCCCAGAACTGGACGCAGTACTCCAGCTGAGGCCTAACCAGTGTTTTGTACAGATTAAGCATAACCCCTACTCTTATACTCTATGCCCCTACTAATGAAGCTCAGTACACCAAATGCCCTTTTTACTGCCCTATCTACCTGCTCTGCCACCTTCAATGAATCGCTTACTTGAACACCCAGATCTCTCTGTAAGTTCACCCCCTTAAGATTGAGCTCCCAAGCCTATATTGCCTCCTATCATTTTTCCTACCTAAGTGTATCACCTCACACTTATCTACATTGAAATCCATCTGCCACATGTCAGCCCATTCCACCATTCTGTGTATGTCTGCCTGCAGTCCGTCACAATCTTCGTCACTATTTCCTACCTAACTTTGTATCATCTGCAAACTTGGAAATAGTGCTCTCTATGCCCAAGTCGAGATCATCAATATATATTAGAAAGAGCAGTGGTCCCAATACCGATCCCTGGGGGACACCGCTGCACACCTCCTTCCATTGCGAGAAACACCCATTAACCACCACCCTCTGCATTCTGTCACTCAGTCAGTTCCTAATCCAAACGGCTACTGTCCCCTTAATACTGTGGGCCTCCAGTTTTTTTATTAACCTCTTATGCGGTACTGTGTCAAAAGCCTTTTTAAAATCCATGTAAATAATGTCCACCGCATTTCCCTCATCAACCCTCACAGTCACCTCTTCAAAAAATTCTATTAGATTTGTTAGGCAAGATTTGCCTTTAACAAATCCATGTTGGGGGTCTCTAATTACCTCGTGTTCCTCTAAGTAGGGATTTATTTTGTCCCGGATTACGGTCTCCAGTAGCTTTCCTATTACTGAAGTTAGGCTGACTGGCCTGTAATTTCCGGGCGTCTTTCTGCCCCTTTTTGTAGAGAGGGGTAACATTAGCCACTCTCCAGTCTCTTGGCACCACTCCTGTGTCCAATGACGATTGAAATATAATGACCAAAGCCTCCGCTATTTGAACCTGTATCTCCCACAGCAACCTTGGGTGAAACCCATCTGGTCCTGGGGACTTATCAATTTTGAGCCCAGTCAATCTTTTCAGAACTTCCTCTCTGTCTATAGTAATCTGATCTATGTCCTGTACCCTCTCATCCAATACTGTGGCATTTGGGGCATCCGTTTCCGTTGTGAAGACAGATGCAAAGTACTTGTTTAGTACATCAGCCACACCCTGTTACCCGCATGTTACCCGCTAACCTCTTCTCATGCGATCTTTTTGCCTGTCTTATTGCTCTTTTAAGATCACTCCTGCATTCTTTATAATGCGCTTTGCTATCCTCAGTGTCTCATCCGCCAATTGTCGTACGCCATCTTCTTCTTTTTCATCCTAGACAGAATATCCCTGGTCATCCAAACAGGCTTGGTTCTCGCACATTTCCCTTTTGTGGGAATATATCTATTTAGACCCTGAGCTATGGTATTTTTGAAGATTTCCCATTGCTCATGAGTCGTTTTACCTGCCATTCTTACTTGCCAATCCACCAACTCCAGGTCCCTCTTTAGCCCATCAAAATTAGCTCTTTTCCAGTCAAGCATTTTCACCCTTGACTGTACTTTGTCCTTGTTGATGAGTAATCTAAATCTAATAATATTATGGTCACTGTTACCTAGATGCTCCCCTACCGAAACTTGTTCAACCTGACCTACTTCATTCGCCAGGACAAGATCCAGCAATGCTTCCTTCCTTGTAGAACTGGAGACATACTGCTCAAGAAAATTTTCCTGTACACAGTTGATGAATCTTTCTCCGGCCTTGCCCTTAACGCTGCTATTTTGCCAATTTATATTGGGATAATTGAAATCCCCCGTTATAACAACTCTGTTCGCCCTACATCTGTCCGTGATCTGGTTGTAGATCTGCTCTTCTATCTCCTTCCCGCTATCTGGTGGTCTATAGTAAACCCCTATCAGTGTAACCACTCCTTTCCTATTTCTGACCTCTAACCAGATGGATTCTGTTGTCGGGCCCGCTAGAGTCTCGTCCCTTTCTACAGCTACAATTGTATCCTTAACTAATGTTGCCACCACTCCACCCTTTCTTCCTTCTCTATCCTTCCTGAACACATTATACCCTGGAATATTTATCTCCCATTCCTGTCCTGGCGTGAGCCATGTCTCAGTTACTGCCACCACATCGTAACCCCCTACGGCCAGTTGAACCTGCAGCTCATCAACCTTATTCCCTACGCTACGTGCATTTGAGGAAATTGTCCACATGTACCTGCTCTATATTTCCCACTTGTCTTTTTCCTCTATTCCCTAATCTATTGTTTATCCTGGGATACCCATCCCCCCTCGCCATTAGTTTAAATTAGCCCCCCCAGCATTCGATAATCTCTTGGCCAGGAAGCTAACCCCTGCCTTGGTGAAGTGCCAGCCATCCGCAAGGTAATGATCCCACCTCCCCCAGTAGTGGTCCCAATTGTCCACAAAACGGAAACCTTCTTTTCTGGACCATTTTTCCAGCCAGTCGTTCACACGCCTGATCCTTTCATTATGGTGCCCCGTTGCCTGAGGCACCGGGAGTAACCCAGAGATCACCACCTTGGATGTTCTGGCCTTGAGTTTGTTCCCCAACTTTTGATACTCGCCCTGGAGTATCTCAGCCCTCATCTTCCCAATATCCCCACATGGACCACGACTTCTGGACATTCTCCTTCCCCCTGAAGAACCTTGTCCACACGCTGCGTAAAGTCCACTACCCTCCACTACAGTGTTGCCCGTGTGATCCATGCCCCTGTTCTGTTGTCCTCACAGCAGAGAGGTTTCCACCCTCTCAATTGCTAACGCTGAGTACTGATTTGAGACCGGTACTCTGTTGGGGGTGCTCTGCTTTGCACAAGCCCTCTTCTTTCCCCGTCGCACTGTCACCCAATCACTTTTAGCATGTGGCTGTGTATTGGGCTCCTCTGGGAGTGGTCCTGTTCCTGAACTCTGACCTCCTGATGGCTCCAGTACCCCTCTCTCGTGGTTCCTATACAGTGATGGGCTGCTATCACTGAGTCCTAGGGGAGTGAGGGTCTCCTCCACCATACTGTCCAGGAACCTCTCACTGTCCCTGATGGAGCGCAGTGTTTGCACCTGAGACTCCAGCTCAGCTACTCTCAGTTGAAGCTCCCTGATTTCCAGACACTTGCGGCAGATGAAGTCGCCCGGGCTTAAGGCGCCCTCCATCGACTCCCACATGTGACAGACCTCGCAGTTTACCTGCCACACCATCTTCACAATCTTTATATAGATACAAAGATATATAGCCTGCCCCCACTTCACCAATGTGTTGATGGGTCATCAACACATCTGTCTGTCTGTCTCCCTCAGTCAGTCCGTGCGAGTGTGTTTGTGTGTCTTGGTATTTCTCGGTCAGTCTGTGTGTGTGTAGTGTGTGTAGTGTGTGCAGTGAGTATGTGTGTGTGCGCGGTGAGTGTGTGTGTGTGCGCGGTGAGTGTGTGTGTGCGCGGTGAGTGTGTGTGCGCGCGGTGAGTGTGTGCGTGCGCGCGGTAAGTGTGTGTGCGCGGTGAGTGTGTGTGTGCGCGGTGAGTGTGTGCATGCGCGCGGTAAGTGTGTGTGCGCGGTGAGTGTGTGTGTGCGCGGTGAGTGTGTGCGTGCGCGCGGTGAGTGTGTGCGCGCGGTGAGTGTGTGTGCGCGGTGAGTGTGTGTGTGCGCGGTGAGTGTGTGTGCGCGCGGTGAGTGTGTGCGTGCGCGCGGTAAGTGTGTGTGTGCGCGGTGAGTGTGTGTGTGCGCGGTAAGTGTGTGTGCGCGCGGTGAGTGTGTGCGCGGTGTGTGTGTGCGCTGTGAGTGTGTGTGTGCGCGGTGAGTGTGTGTGTGCGCGGTGAGTGTGTGTGTGCGCGCGGTGAGTGTGTGCGTGCGCGCGGTAAGTGTGTGTGCGCGGTGAGTGTGTGTGCGCGCGGTGAGTGTGTGTGTGCGCGCGGTGAGTGTGTGTGTGCGCGCGGTAAGTGTGTGTGCGCGGTGAGTGTGTGTGTGCGCGCGGTGAGTGTGTGTGTGCGCGGGGAGTGTGTGCGTGCGCGCGGTAAGTGTGTGCGCGGTGTGTGTGCGCGGTGAGTGTGTGTGTGCGCGGTGAGTGTGTGTGCGCGCGGTGAGTGTGTGTGTGCGCGGTGAGTGTGTGTGCGCGCGGTGAGTGTGTGTGTGCGCGGTGAGTGTGTGTGCGCGCGGTGAGTGTGTGTGTGTGTTGTGTAGTGAGCGTGTGTAGTGTGCGCAGTGAGTGAGTGTGTGTGTGTATCTGTATCTCTGTATCTCGGTGAGTCTGTTTGTCTCTCTCTCCCTCTACCCCGTACAAAGTGAGTAACGGCTGCGATATGCACACAAGTAAATAAATCGCCGGATTTTCGGAGTTTGTAAAATAACAGATGAATTCAAGGAGAAAATAGTCCTTTGTGCGCTTGAGATTAAAGATTGGGCCAGGCACGAAACCCTTTTGAAGTGCCTCATATTCATGATTAAAGTAACCTTTTCCCAAGCAAACAAAACCCGATGTTGTTCATCAGCTTTTATTAAAGGGGCCTCGCTCTAACCTCGTGCTTGCTCTCCCTGCTGTGCTGCTGGCATTGCCACCTCAGGGAAAACATCACACTGGGGGACATCAGCGTGTTTAATAATAATAATAATCCTTGCATTTGATACCGCGCCTTATCACGTCTTCCGAGACGTCTCAAAGCGCTTCACGGGATCTACTGTGAAGTGAATGGACTGCATTTGGTGGGGGAAACGCTCACAGCGGTCAGTGTCCCTCACACACTCTTGGATTGAGTGACTATTTTTTTTAAGGGAGTATTAGCCCCGGTCCAATCGACTAACAACCAGGTTCCTGCTTACTGCTGGATAAACAGAGGTGTGTGGAGTAAGGAAACTCGCCTAAGGTTTCGCCCTCTCTGGGAATTGAACCTGAGTCCTCTCATTTGCGAGGCGAGTGCTCTAACCACTGAGCTACAGGACATCAGCACCATTCCCTCCTGTCTCTCAGACTAGCCATGTGTGAGTACATGTGGGTGGACATGTATGTGGACACGTGTGCGTTCTGTCTAGTCATGCTTTCCTCTCCCTCTTTCCCATCCAGAGACCATTTGGGGCAGAATTTGCCTCCCCGCCCCCACCCCAGTCCAACTTGTTTCACAACACATACACGAACAAGCGCATACATGTACACAATCACACACACGTGTACATAAATACACACGGGGTAGCTGTTCTTTAACATTATAATCAGTCTCTACTCTCTTCTCCCTCTAGTGCCCAGGAGGTTGTGTTTTTCCCAGCCGGGTGTCTGACACACACGGAAACCCCATCACCGTTGTTTCTCCAAACCAAGCTGAGAATTCCTGCATCCCAACACATGGAAATACCAGAAATACACTGTCGGAATGGAATGCGCTCTCTCTCTCTCTCTCTCTCTCTCTCTCCCTAGAGGAACATTCCCTGTTTCCCTAATTCTGGAGTGTATTAGGCGCAGGTTGGCAAGAGCCGAGGCTTGGGGTAACTGCTGGCGTCTAACCAGCTAAACCCACAGAGCTTGCCATTGACAGCACAAGCTTTCCCGCTGCTAAGTACACCCTAACCTGCCGTTGAGAGCACTGTGTTGCAGGAGAAACATTAAGTCTAAGGGGAGAGTGGGGAGTGTGGGGAGGGGAGAGGGGCTGGGTGTGGGGGGGGAGGGGGAGGGTGTGGGGGAGAGGGGGGGTTGTACCTAGTCCGAAGTGGGCCACGGGCTCCATCTCACACAGGTAGCCAGAGCCTCCGTCAATGATGCGCAGGTGTGGCCCGCTCTTCCTGGTGTACAGCACCACCTTTGCCCCACGGGCAAACGCCCCAAACCGCGTCCGTGGGATGATCCGCAGCCATTTGTTGTCAGAACCCTGATCAGTGCACGCACACGTCAACACACGCATGTGCACACACAAGCATGTGCACACACAAACATCCACACACACACACACACACAGACACCAGCAGGCACACACGCACACATGTCCACACGTGCACACACAAACACAACCACATGTACATGGACACACACACATACACACACGCACACACCCACAGGCACACAAACACACACGCATGTGCACATCATCGCATACAGGTCGACACGCGCACACGGCCACACATACATGCACAAATCCAAAAGAGAGAAATTATTTTTTTTAACCATTGAAACACATCAAAGCATAATTACTGTCTAACGTAGTGACTGTGTTTGTACATAAACATGGCACCCATTTTGCTCTCACTGAAGCCCCACAAACAGCCATTTTGTTTTGGCCGGTCGGGTGTCTGACACATGCAGAAACCCCTCACCGTGCTTAAGAGAATCCAAACCAGACTGGGTCCCACCCACACATGGAAAATCCTTCGCCTGGAATGAAATGTACACATCTGCGGATAATGTCACCAAGAATATGAGTGAGGTTGATAGATTTTTGGTAGATCAAGGGATATGGGGAGAAAGTGGGAAATTGGTATTGAAAGGATTAGTTGAGGTACATACCAGCCATATGTAATTAAAGGGCTGAACGGCCTCCTCCTGTTCCTATGTTCCCCCTCCACCACCAATCCCCCCACCCCCATCAGGAGGCTAGTCAAGTAGGAGCGTTACATGATCTTTACTGTCCCTCTGAAGGCAGACGTCTCTCTTGCAACAACAACAACAAAATTACATGTGTAAAGCGCCTTTCATGTTGGGAGGACGTCCCAAGGTGCTGGACAGTCAGAATTTCGGACCTGAGCTGGGTGTTGGGACTGGGGACGGTGGGGGGGGAAGCAGGGTGATGAAAAGCATGGTCGAAGAGGTGGGTCTTGAGATGGGTCTTGAAGGAGGCAAGGGAGGGGGCGAGGTGGAGGGACTGCGGGATGGAGTTCCAGAGGGTGGAGGCAGAGTGGCAGAAGACTGGCCATCAATGGTGGGGCGGTGCGGAGGGAGGGAGCAGGATGCTAAAGGGTTAGGAGATTGCAGAGGTCAGGGGAGCAAGACCATGGAGGGCTTTGAAGGTAAGGACCAGGATTTTGAACTGTGTCCTCTGTGTGATGGGAAGCCAATGGAGTTGGGTAAGGAAGGGGGGTGGTAGGGTCGCAGAGCCTGGTGTGGGAGAGGACACGGGCTGCTGAGTTCTGGATGATCTGCAGCTTGTGGAGGGAGGAATTGAGGAGGCCGTAAGCAAGGAGTTTGCATAGTCAAGCCTGGATGTTATGAATGCATGTATGAGGGTTTCGGTGGCCTGCAGTGTGAGACAGTGGTGGAGCCGGGCGATGGTGCGGAGGTGGGAGAAGGCAGAGCGGGTCATGGCATGGATGTGGGGTAGAGAAGATATTTGAAAGTCAAACAAGACGCCAAAGTTCTGGACTGGCTTAGCGAGGTGGAGTGTGCAACCATGGATGGTGGTGCTGTCAGCGCCTGAGGTGTGGAGGTGCTGATGGGAGCCAATCAGGAGAGACTTGATTTTGTTGCCGTTCAACTGAAGAAAGTTAGCTCTCATCTCATCCAGGTCATTTATATAGTCCAGATCATACAAATCATCTGGGCTTGGGTATAGGGAGAACAATTTCCAAGTTTGCAGATGATACTAAGCCAGAAAAAGTAGTAAACAGTGAGGAGGATAGCAGCAGACTGCAAATGGACACACAGACTGGTAACACGGGCAGACACTGGGCAGATGAAGTTTAATGTGGAGAAATGCAAAGTGATGCATTTGAGAGGAAGAATGAGGAGAGGCAATAAAAGCTGATGGGACAATCTTAAAGGGGGTGAAGGGACAGAGAAACCTGGGGGTCATATAGTAAATCTTTGAAGGTGGCCGGACAGGCAGATAAAGCTGTTAAAAAAGCCTACGGGATACGAGGCTTTATAAATAGGGGCACAGAATACAACAGTCAGGAAGTTATGATGAACCTTTATATAAACACTGGTTAGGCCTCAGCGAGAGACTGTGTTCAGTTCTGGGCCCCACACTTTAGGAAGGATGTCAAGACATTGGAGTGGGTGCAAAGGAGATTGACCAGAATGGTACCAGGAATGAGGGATTTCAGTTATCAGGAGAGGTAGAGAAGCCGGGATTATTCTCCTTGGAGCAGAGAAGGTTAAGAGGAGATTTGATAGAAGTTTTCAAAATGATGAGGGGATTCGATAGGGTGAACAAGGAGAAACTATTCCCACTGGCGGGAGGGTCGGTAACCCGAGGACACCGAGTTAAAATAGTTGTTAAAAGAAACAGAGGGGAGGGGAGGAGAAATGTTTTCACACAGCGAGTTGTTGGGATCTGGAATGCATTGCCTGAAAGGCTGGGGGAAGCCGATTCCATAATAACTTTTAAGAGAGAAGTTGAGAAGTAACGGAGAACAAGTTGCAGGGCTATGGGGAGAGAGTGGGGGAATGGGGTTGATCAGGGCTATGGGGAGAGAGTGGGGTTGATCAGGGCTATGGGGAGAGAGCGGGGGAGTGGGCTTGATTGGAAGCTCTTTTCAAAGAGCCGTTCCAGACAACAAGAACAACAAGATTCCATTTATAGAGCACCTTTCACGTCGGGAGGACGTCCCAAGGCGCTGACATGATGGGCCGAATGACCTCCTTCTGTGCTGTATAAATCTATAATTCTATGATCCAGGATTCGAAGTCTGACAGACATTCTATCAGGACAGCAGTGGGTCCTGGAGTCAAGGGTGGAGGCAGAGAGGTAGAGTTGGGTGTCATCCCATACATGTGGAAGTTGACCCCATGTCTATGAATGATGTCACCAAGAGGGAGCATCTAGATATTGAAGAGGAAGGGACCAAAGACAGAGCCCCGAGGAACACCGCACGAGATGGTGTGGGGACTAGAGGAAAAAACATTTTTCGAGATGAGGTGGAGGCGGTGTGAGAGGTACCTGAACCACTGAAGGACAGAGCCATGAAGGTTGAGGTGAGAGGAGAGGCTGTGGATGAGGATAGAGTGGTTGACGGTATCGAAAGCAGCAGAGAGGTCAAGGAGGACGAGGAGGCAGAGGGAAGACTGGTCGCAGGAGAACACAATGCCATTTGTCACTTTGGCCAGGGCTGTTTCTGTGCTGTGGGCGCATGGAAACCCGACTGGAGGGATTCGTGAAGGGAGTGGCGGGAGAGGACGGAGCGAGGCTGGGAAGCAACAACTCGCTCCAGGACCTTGAAGAGGAAGGGGAGGTTGGAGTTCGAGAGCAGTGATGGGTCCAGGGAGGGTTTTTTAAGGATAGGTGTGATGGCGGCCGTTTTTAATGGGGATGGCTGATCTTAATTTTTAGCGTCTCGTTGGGAGGACAGCGTCTGTGACAATGCAGCGCTCCAACTGCACCCGGGCTGGATCATCACTCTGGACACTGAGCTCAAAGTCCCAAGAAGGGGGTTGGACCGACATGTCGAGGATAGGCAACGGAGGCCGGGGGAAACCTACTGGTGTCATAGTGACTGGCCCATTCTCCTTGAGAGAAGAGGAGGTTAAGGGGAGATTTAATACGGGTGTTCAAAATGATGAGAGAGTTTGATAGGGCAGATAGGAAGTAACTGTTTCCTCTGGTGGATGGGTTGGTAATCAGAGGACATAGATAATAATACTTGCATTTGATATAGCGCCTTATCATGTCTTTGTGACGTCTCAAAGATAATTCAAGATAATTCAGATTCAAGATAATTGTCAAAAGAACCAGAGGAGAGAAGAGGGGAAATTATTTTACAGAGAGTTGTTACGGTCCGGAAAGCACGGCCTGAAAAGTTGGAAACAAATTCAATAACAACTTTCAAAAGGGAATTGGCCAGATACTTGAAAAGTAAAATAAATTGCAGGGCTACGGGGAAAGAGTGGGGGAGTGGGACTGATTGGGTAGCTCCTCCAAAGAGCTGGCACAGGCACGATGGGCAGAATGTCCTCCTTCGGTACCGTAATATTCCACGATGCTATGAATGGTTTAGACAGAGAACAAACATTGCGTCCTGCCATCAGCCCCTCAGTCAGACTCCGCCACCTAGCGGAGATGTTGTTGAAGTCCACGTAACCCTGTATCTTACAGGTCCATCTGAACCAACAGTAATACTAGTTATCCTTAGGTTTGATACCATGCCTTTCACTGTCAGGGTGGACGTCCCAAAGCTCTTCGCAGGATACACTGTCAAGTATAGTGACTGTGTATTTTGCAGGCAAACTGAAAAGATTTGGAAGAACAGAAGCCCAAATTCCACCCAGTATTAACCTGTAGCGCGTCTCAAAAACGTGGTGCACAATTTATTAAAATTCTTAACGTCAGTCTTCATTTTAGACTGGACAGAGGGTAGGGGGTTCTGATTCAATGTCTACAAATCAGAACCAATCAGTTAGAACTAAGGTCAGGCAGAACCTTTTGTCATACAGAGATGTGAAGCTGCGGAACTCTCTTCCCAAAAAGCAGTAAAAATAATAATATAATAATAATTCTTGCATTTGATATAGCGCCTCATCACATCGTTGAGAGCCGTCTCAAAGCGCTTCACAGGATATACGATAGAATGGATCGATTGTGTATTTTGTGGGCGAAACGTGGCAGTCAATATATACGCCGCAGTGTCCCACAAACAGCCATGTAGTGAGTGACCAATTTTATTTGGGGGATTGTTGGCCTGGACACAGGGAGAGAGACTCCCTTTTCTTTTTGAATTGCGTCACAGGATCTTTAACGTCCACCTGAACAGGAGGACAGGACCTCGGTTTGACGTCTCATCCAAAGAACGGCGTCTCTGACAATGCAACACCCCACAGCACTGCACTGCAGTGTCAGTTTAGACTATGTGATTCCAAGCCCTGATGTCGGGCTTGAACCCACAACCTTGACTCAGAGGCGAGAGTGCTACCACTGAGTCAGGCTGAAGAGGAGGATTCAATAAAAGAGAGACTGACAGTGACTTGGGTAGTAAAGGCATTGCAGTGTGACGTAAGAGCAAGGCTTTAGGATTAAAGATGTATCCGGAGCTAATAAACCGGTGAGATCAGCTCATTGGGCTGAATACTCTCTTCCTGTGCTGTTTTATCGATGCTCTAATTTGGGTGCCAGTTTCCCTCAGTTCTTCCAGATTAAGGTCGGATTGAATCGTTTTCCGCGATCTTAAATCTTAAAATGAAACAGTGGCACAGACTGGGACTGGGTGAAATTATGGCCCCCTCCCTCCCCAGGGCCACGACACGGGAAGGCTAGCGAGACGGTACCTGGTTCACTCTGAAGACGGACAGAGGTTGAGCCATGGACTCTCCGTGAGAAATAATCAGATCCAGCAGACCGTCCCTGTCAAAATCAGTGGTCACCGCTCCTGTGAAGGTCCCAAAACAGTCTTAATAATATAATAAAAATAAAATATATTATATTATAACAATATAAAAATAATATATAATAATAAAATATAATATAAATAATACAGTAATAATAAAATATAATATAATACAATATAATAATATAATAATACAATATAAATTACATAACAATACAATATAGCAATAACATAATATAATAATTCTTACATTGGATATAGTACCTTATCATATCGTTGAGATGTCTCAAAGCGCTTCATAGAATGCACTGTAAAGTGGAGTGACTGGGTACTTTGTGGGCGAAATCCAGCACAGCAATGTCCAACAAACAGTCGTGGAATTAGGTGACCAATTTTTTTTATTTTGAGGGATTATTACCCCCGGAAAGCGATCCGCCAACCGACCAAGGATTATTATTATTATTTCCTCTCCTCGGCTTCCACCCAAACCCTTATCGCCTTATGTGAAATTTCTCTGCATTAAATCTACACCTGCGCTAATCATTAAGGTGTCTGTGTGTTCCTCCTCACCCCAGTCAGACACTTTATCCTTTTGTTAAGTGGTGGGGAATGGAAATTGGTGGAGCAAAAATTAGACCAAAAAAAAGACATTTTTCTTTCCAGCATCCCTCGGAAACCACTGACGTAATTGCTATTTATTTTTTGATCGAAAAAAATCTTTGCAGCTTTTCTGGAATCCTAGAAAAAAAAATAGACGAAAGCAAATACCCTTCACTTGGCGCAGAACATTAGCACGTGGGCAGAATGTCCGTGGTTAATGGAGTGTAAGGGCTGATACAGCTCTGCGGTCACAGGGAGCAGAGTGGTCTGTCTGTCTGCAAATATCAGAGGGGAAGGTTCACTGTTCATTGCACAGTTGCCTCTCAGCCTGGCTCTGCCAAAGCTTTCCCTTCAGCTTCCCCTGGTCAATTCTATCCTCACCGCTGTTGACAAGGAAGGGAATGTAATATATAATAATAATAATCTCTGCATTTGATATAATGCCTCACCATGTTTCAAAGAGCTTCACAGAAGATACTGTGAAGTGAATTGACCGTGTATGTTGCGGGCGAAATGCAACAGTTAATTATGCACAGCAGTGTCCTATAAACAGTCGTCGAATTGAGTGACTCAATTGAGGGATTATTACTCCCGGAAAAGCAATCCACCAATCAACTAACAACCAGGTTCCTATTTACTGCTGGGTAAACAGGCGTGTGGAATAAGGAAACGTGCCTAAGGTTTACCCTGCCCGGGAATCGTACCCAGGTCCTCTCTCTTGCGAGGTGAGTGCGATAATCACCACACTGCAGGACTCCACATAATAACCTTGCCCATACCATCGAGGTGATTCAAAGTGCTTCTCAGGATTTGACTGTAAAGTGCAGTGACTGTGTGTTTTGGTTACAAAAAACAGGAGAACGGGAGGAATGTTGTAAACAGCCACTCAGGACAGCCCCTTAATGTCCACCTGAATCTCAGGGCAGACACAGACATAACTTAACAGCTAGAAAATACACAATACAATGAAAAAATATACATTTCCACACAGCAACTTTCACACTGGAAGGTCCTGAGGTGCTTTAGGTGGGAGCTGAGGGGGGGGGGGAAGGGGCGGAAATAACCGAAGGCGGTCGAAGAAGTAGGTCTTGAGACAGAGCTTGAATGAGGTAACGGAGGGAGTGTGACAGAGGGGCTCCGGGATGGAGTTCCAGAGAGTGGGAGCAGTTAGCCTGAAAGCCCGGCTGCTGATGGTGGGAGGGTATAAGGGCGGGGGGACATGAAGCAGGCCGGTGCCGCCGAGTCAGGCATTAACAGAATCCAATGTGTGTTATTTATTCGCTATGGTACCCTGTTCCCAGCACCGGACTCACCCCTCACCTGTTCCTTGCCCTGTGGGCTCAGCAGCATCTCCTGGGTTCAGCTCCTCAATCAGTGGGTCCAGCCCGTCCCTCTGCGCCACCCTGTAAGTGAGCACAAGATAAGAGGCCATCAACCCTGGCAACACAAGGGGTCTCACTGGTCCTGCCCCGGAGCCAGTATCCCAGGACACTCACTGCTGATGGCAGCATAGCCCGGCCTGGCTCATTGGCAGGACCTGGAAGGGCTGACCAGTCACTGGGGGCAGGGAATCCTCCCCCTCAGCTCCTGTCAACCCTGCAGCCAAAGCCCTAAAGGGGAGGATGGTCCTAGCTGGACAACCAGCGGGAAAGCTGGCCAGACAGCGCTCTGAATGGCAAGCTGGTTGGTTTTAGCCGGTTAGACTCCAGCAGTTACCCCAACGCGCACTCTGGGCTCCTTGCATTGAATATAGCTGTTGCTGTTGTCGGCTGTACTGAGGTCGGGCGAGCGTGGAGCTGTGAGACACGCGACTTTCTTGCGAGCTGCACTGTTCCAGCCGTGCAACCTTCAGTGCAGTGCAGTGCAGCACCGCAACCAGCAGAGGACAACACAACACTAGCCAGTGCACGGAATAGAGACTGGTTTACACAGACAGGGTAACAGGCAAACCACCAACAGCCTCACCCACTGACTAACACACAGACAAGTACATCTATCAGGGTGGGTCTCAGGACATGTCTGCACCCCCCAACCCCCCCACCCCAACAAGGGTTCCCTTGTGCTTCTGTTACGTCAGTCAGTGCACCGCTCCAGGAGCGTCTTATCACCACATCATTTTAAGTTAGTTCAAGATTGGGAGCGACTGACGCCTGTTAATGATTCCCGATCAAGCTCAGTGGCGTCTGCTTTGTTTCCATCACCGACCGACCATCAGTTAAACCAGCCGGGCTCTGCTGGCAGTACAGCAGGCTCTGCCCTTGGGTTAGAGGGTTGAGGGTTCAAATCCCGTGTCAGGATTAATGCTCACAGTCCAGGCTGACGTTCCAGTGCATTGCTGGGTGGTGGGGTGGGGGTTAGAGGAGCCCTGCAATGTTTGAGATGTCATCCTTCAAATAAAAGGTTAAACCAAGATCCCGTCTGTCCCTGTGTTGGAGCAAATGTCAAAGATCCTATCGGAAAAAGAGTAGGGAGTCTCTCACTCTCTCCCTGTTTCCCGGCCGACAATCCCACAGATAAAATTGCTTATTCACTTCATGGCTGTTGGCCTGACCTTGCTGTGCACAAATTGGCTGCCGTGTTGGTCTACAAATGCTCGTTACTGCACTTGACAGCAGCAATTCCCTATGAAGCACTTCCGAGACCTTTTGATGTTATAGGCGCAGTATGGAATGCAAGGATTGTTATCAATATGAAATCCACGTTCTCCAGTGTGTGTACCAGCCGGGGGCCTTCAGTCCTCCTGACGCACGGGTCAGACAGGTCAGTGAAGCCAGGGTAGTGTGGGAGGTGGGTATAAGTCGAGGTTGCACTTGTGTTTAGGCGAGGGGGAGAGGGGGGAGGGAGATTGGAATGAACAGGAGCTGGCCACTATCCTTCAACGTGATCCGGTTCTTGGTCAGATACGATGATCCTGAAATAAACACGATCCACATTGTAATGTCAGAGAGCGTTCCGTCAATTTTACATTCGATAATATGAAAAGGTTTATTAGTGACAGGACAGGGAGGTTCACAGCCCAGACGAGGTGCCTTTCCCTTCTCACAGAGTTGTCCGGTTCCCTTTTAAAACTGTTGTCAATCTGTTCCAACCAACGTTTCTGTTCGGGCGTTCAATATCCACTTAAAACTGTGCATGTGTGTGAGTTAGTCTGTGTGCGTGAGTTAGTCTGTGTGTGTGCATGTGTGTGTAGTCTGTGTGTGTGCATGTGTGAGTATATGGGTGTGGATGTGAGTGTGTATGTGATAGTTGCGTGTTGCGTATGTGAGTATGGGTGTGAGTGAGCGTGTGTGCTAGTGTGTGTGTTTGATAATGTGTGTGTGTGAGTGTGTATGAGTGTCTGTGTGTTACTGTTAGTGTGTGAGTGTGTGTGAGTGAATGTGTGTAAGTGTGTGTGTGTGTGAATATGGGTGTGTGAGTGAGCGTGTGTGCTAGTGTATGTGTGAGTGTGCGTGAGTGTGCGCGCGTATAAACAAATTCTCCTAACCTCCTCTTCCTTTGTTGTATTTTTGGTGCTGATTTGGAATGGATGCCCCTGTATTACTGACTGATCAGTCTCCTAGCGCAGGAAGCAGGAGAACCCATGCACTCCACCGATCCCGGTACATACAGAGCAGAGGCTGAGCAGAGGCTCGGTAACTCAGAGCGTCTCCTTCGGGAAATACGCAAACGGTGCAGGTATCAGGGCACCAATAATCAACCGGTTATATCAGTAACCATCCTTGATAAACCATAAGATTGGTTTGGATAAAGTAGATCCTTCAATCCAATGGCAACACTCCCAAATATCCCCCCACAACGCCCTCACCCTGACCTCCCCCCCCCCTCAGCCAAAATTAGCCTAAATCGTGAGCTCAAATTCCCAACGTGGGGCTTAAACCACAATCTTCTGATGTGGAGGCGAGGCCGAGGCAGTCTGACATTAAGAGTTGTGAGCGGGGAGGAGAGAGGAGAAACTGACCAGGCCTTTCCCTGAGTAATCATAATGCGAGACTTTAAGTGGCCTGTGATCCCCCACCACCCACTACCCACACCCTAACCCCCACCCCACCCACCCGCAAACCCCTGCAGAAGGTGTTCAGTGGCGGCAGGCGAGCACACCCCTCACCCACCTGAAGAGCCGGTTGGCGGACGAGCCCCGATAGGCGATGTTATTGAAGAAGACCTCGAGCTCCTGGTCGTTGTCAAAGTCAGCGGCAATCAGCGTCCGCACTGGCGATGGCATGGCAAACATCTGAGTGGCCACGTCCTGCACACAGACAGACACAGGCTCAATAATAATAATAATCCTTGCATTTGATACAGCGCCTCATCACGTCTTCGGGACATCTCAAAACTTCTTCATAGAATACACTGTGAAGTGAATTGACTGGGTGTTCAATTGCACACAGCAGCATCCCACAAACAGTCGTGGATTTAGTGACCAATTTATTATTATTTTCTTTTAAAAATTTAATTTGGAGGGATTATTACACCCGGAAAAGCCATCCACCAATCGACTTACAACCGGGTCCCTACTCACTGCTAGGTAAAGAGAGGCGTGTGGGGTGAGGAAACCCAATGTTTCACCCCGCCTGGGAATTGAGTAAATGAGGGAGATATGGTATGTTTGCTAGGCTCGGGGAATGGGGAGAGGATCCCTCAACCATCTGAGATACACATAGACAAGCACACCCCCTTCCTCCCATTCCATCTTCTTGTTTGCCCAGCCGAGTGTCTGATACATGGGGAAACCCTTCACTGTGCTCAAGAGTCTCCAAACCCAACTAAGAATTCCCAGCCCACCCATACATGGAAATCCCAGAGATAGATTGTTGGAATGGAATGCGCTCTCTTTCTCTCTCTCTCTCCCTGGAGGGACTCATCCCATTTACCTAATTCCAGAAAGTATTAGGCACAGGTTGGCAAGAGCCAAGACTTGGGGACCCCAGAGTGTGCGTTGGGGCAACTGCTGGAGTCTAACCAACAAATAAATACAGACGCAGCCCTCACCCTCTCCCTTGCTGGGTTTGCCTCCTCTCTGCTATCAGATCATACTAATGCCCAGACCCTGCCCACCTCCTCTCAATTCTGATGTCAAACATCAATCCTAATCTCCCCTAATCACTTGCCACAGTGAATCCCACCAACACCCATTCTCAAGAACAAGGAAGTACAATAACTGTGACTGGAGAAAGAGATAATAATAATCCTTACACTTGATATCGCACCTTATTACATCGTTCAGACATCTGAAAGTGCTTCACTTATGTATTGTAAAGTGCATTGACTGTATTTTGTGGGTGAAATGCGGCAGCCAATTGCGCACAGCTGTGCCCCAAAAACAGTTGCGGAGGATTATTACCCCAGAAAAGCGATCCGCCAGTTGACTAACAATTTAGCTACGAACCTAGCAGTAAGTTCCTACTTACTGCCAGGTAAACAGAGGCGTGTGTATGGAGTAAGAAAACTTGCCTAAAGTTTTGTCCTACCTAGGAAGATGGCGAGGCTGGGCAAATAGACTGTGGGGCCAGCCTCAGTCTGTTCACTGGACACCTCACATCTCAGAATAAACAACTGGAGTTTGAGTAAAAGTCTGTTTAAATAAAGCCTGTTGGGTGGCGATGAACAGTGGCAGGTTTAATAGCTTAATGTGAAGGGAAGTGACAGCCAGAGGCAGGCGATTGGGAATGAAGACAGACAGATACTAAATAATGAGATTCATCACCAAATACTTTCAATCAACGCTCTTGGCTGTGCCATCCATTAGAGGAAACCCGCAGCCTGATTTGCCAATTAAAATCCTGGGATTTATGGATTTGCGAGCCGTGCGCTGGGAGGCGGGGCTGATTGTCACGTCTCCTCCACAACGTCCGGGACTGAAGATCAGCAACCGGAAATTCATCCCGATTTCTTAATCCGTAAAGGGCCTCTGGTTGATCGCAATCGACTTCTTGGGAGGATCGAGAAGTGGCCTGCTAAACTCCGCTAAACACCCACACCAGTCCAGGCAGCTCCGCACCAAATCAATCCCTTCTTTCCAGCAGCTACTGAGCCACAATGCCAAATAATAATAATCCTTGCATTTGATACAGCGCCTTATCACGTCTTCGAGACGTCTCAAAGCGCTTCACAGAATATACTGTAAAGTGAATTGACTGTATACTTTGTGGGCGAAACTCGGCAGCCCCCACAAACAGTCGTGGATTGAGTGACCAAATTATTATTATTTATTTTATTTTTTTGAAGGGATTATTACCCCTAGAAAGCGATCCGTCAATCGACTCATCATCGGATTCCTACTTACTGGGTAAACAGAGGCGTGTGGAGTAAGGAAACTTGCCTACTGTTTCGCACTGCCCGGGAATCGAACCTAGGTTCTCTCGCTTGCGAGACAAGCGCTCTAACCACTATGGTACAGAACTCCAATCGGTGATAAAATCAGTCACTCACGTCATGGCTGTTTGTGGGATATTGCTGTGTCTAAATTGGGATGCCATTCATCCACGAAAAATACACAGTCACTATATTCAATCCTGTGAAGCACTTTGAGACGTCCTCCTGACGTGAAAGGAGTTGCGTTATTATTATTATGATAAAAATGTCCGTTTCTGCTCTCGGTCATTCCAATATCATACGCACGCGATCTGTCACGCTCTGCGCTATAGTCGTACATTCATGGGGGGAACCACAGTAAATTAAATTAAAACCACATTAGCCTCACGTTAAACCCCAGGATTCACTTAGAACATCCTAAAGCACCTCGAGAAGTGAGGTGACTTTTTGTCCTCAAATACAGCAGCTATTTTGCACACAGCAAAGCCCTGAGCCATTTGCCCACACAATATACAGTCAATTCACTTTACAGTATATTCTGGAAGACGCAATGAGCCATTATATCAAATGCAAATATTATTATTAATTAATTATTATTATTATTATGAGATGAAAACTATCTTATTTGAGGGATTGTTGGCCAGGGCATCGGGAGAAACTCCTTTCTCTTTTCCAATAGAGTTGTGGGATCTTTGACATCCACCTGAATAGGCACTGAATAGACTAACATCTCCTCCAAAGGACACGGTTTTATTGCAGCGCTGCCCACAATGGTTTGCTCGACAGTCATTTTAGATTATAAACTCAAGCCATGATGTGGGGCTTGAACCCAAAGGCTTCCGACTCTTTAGCAACAAGTGTTAGCAATGGAGCCAAGCTGGCTGAACTCTGGACACACTGCAGTAGTGTATTGGGAGGCAAATCACTTGACCTTTTCTTATTCTATTCCACGAGCAGGTTTCAGCAAGGCTCGGTTGTTAACACTCTCTGTCACTTCTGGGTCAGAAGGTTGCGGGTTCAAGGTCCCAAGTCGGATGGGGATTATGCAGGATGGCTCCTGCGATGACCTTATGTTCTGTGTACAGGTGTACCAGTGGGAGGGTGGACTGTGCAGAGACCAGGCTAAGCATTCCCTGCTTTAAAGGCAAAATCTTAGGCAAGTTTCCTTACTCCACACACACGCCTCTGTTTACCCAGCAGTAAATAGGAGCCCGGTTGTTAGTCGATTGGTGGATCGCCTTTCCGGGGTAATAATCACTGAAAAAAAATTTGTCACTTACTCCACGACTGCCGCATTTAGCCCACAGTATACCCAGTCAATTCACTTCCCAGTATATCCTGTGAAGCGCTTTGAGACGTCTCAATGACGTGATAAGGCGCTGTATCAAATGCAAGGATTATTATTATTATTCAAGGGGGAATGCGAGAGCCTGGAAGGCTGTACTCTGATTGTATTCTGTCAGAAAGTGAATCAAATGCTGTGGTTCTCAGGTTATTAACCTGAGAGGAATCAACTGCACAGCACTTGCAGAAACTTGTAAGAGTAATGTTTGGCTAATCAATTCTCTCTTTTTATATATAAAATAAAAACGCTTCCAGCACAGCTTGGGCTCTGTTTGTTTCACTGCCATTTGTTTAAGCTGACAGGTCATTTTAGTCCACAGCTAGTAGAAAAGCACACTGAATGTATTGCTCCAGACAGTCACTGTGGTGTTGCACTGTGTGTTACCTGGGCTGTTTATACCTGGCCATCAATTATACTGTGTTCTGCCTCCCGCCATTTGGGACAACCTTTGTGGCATATTTAAGAACATTTTCATAACTTGGGTGAAAAATTGGTCAACAATCGGTGGGAGAAGTCAGACTGGGGGGAAATGAGCGGAGGAATGAGATTAGAGCTCCAGAGGGGGAGTGAGCCCCAGCACAGACACAATGGGGAGAGAGAGAGAGAGAGCAGGGAATGGGGTTAGAGTAGAGGCTCCAGTGGGGGAGCGAGCCCCAGCACAGACACCATGGGGAGAGAGAGAGAGAGCAGGGAATGGGGTTAGAGTAGAGGCTCCAGTGGGGGAGCGAGCCCCAGCACATAAAATAAGAACCACTTTTTGTGCTGTAATTTTTATAGGATTGCTCTAAGATAGCCATCATTCTACACAATTAGAGGGACAGACGCTATGTGTCAGTGGACAAACCAAGCTTGTGAAAATAGCTTTACTGCAGTAATTGAGATCGAAAAGCATTTTACAATCAGGTGACGGGAAGAGGCGGGGAGGAGGGAAACCCGAAAAAGATTCCGATCCATCACGTCTGTTTGGGGTCCCTCACCGGCTGATTCCCAGCCTGCCGTCGAGTCCAGCCCGAGGCTGAGGAACCAATCTCTCACTTGAAGGTTAAGCGGATATGGAGGTTGACTGTTTTTACGTGCTGTTGGTTTGGTAATAAACTCTGCAGCAGCTGGTGACAGCCGGCAATGTCGCAAATCGGACTCAAACTGGTCTTACCATGGAACATAGTAGTTCATCAGGAGACCGGACACAGCCCAGATTGATAACAGCTGATGTGAATCCTATATTGAAGTTCTGGTGCGTCTGTTATTACTCGAGGGAAATAAATCACTGAGCGTCCTTTTGGCACTCGCTGCCAACGCAAGCTGTTTGCCCGGGTGTGTGTTACATTCCTTGCCTTTGCTATATCGCCTGCAACGCTGAGACAACACAAACTGCTTAGGAGGTAATCACTGTCAATGTCTGTGTATTTGTAGGCAAACATAGCAGCCCAGGCAGGTCCCACAGATAGCCACCGAGTGATTTAACCTGCAGGATTGTCAGCCAGGACACTCCGAGAGAAACTCCCTTCCGCTTTGTAATAACGTGAGTTGACCGTATATTTTGTGAGCGAAACGCGGCAGCCAATTGCGCACAGCAGCGTCCCATAAACGATCGTGGATTGAAGTAACCAATTTATTATTTTTTTTAAATTAAGTTAATCTGAACTCAATTGCAATTTCTCCCCAGCAGTTAGTTGACAGACTTGGGGAGCTGATACCGTGCAAGGCTGGACCCCCATAGCTCTGTACCCGGGCAAGGTTACAAACAGGTCCTTGATAAAAGGTGCACGCAGATCAGCGTAACATCTTACTTACCAATTAGATCTGCGTGGATGGCTCACTAACAAATTGATGAGGCAAAAGACAACATAATCTAAAAAAAGCGAGGCCATTCACAATTTCTGAATTACATCGGCAAAGATAATACTCCACTGAGTTTATCGAAGGACTCAATAAAATTAATTAAAATTGTTCATGCAACCAAACATATTTACTTTATCTTGGAGGTCAACTGGCTGATGAGGTTGAAATCCAGTATACATATGCATGAGTCTCGCCTTAAAAGGAATTATTTTCCTATTAGTAGAATAGCTGTTAATCCAAACATTATTGCTTTTTTTTCATATTTCGTAAACTAAAATGCATATCAGAAGTTGATGATGAGTGAATATTTGATTCTGAACTATTTAAATCACTTGAGCTAATCTACTGGATATCAATGGGGCCTAAGGGATGGGTCTGTCACTATCCTTTCTAGAATCAGATATGCCTAATTGCATTCAAATACATCTCCATTTTCTCTCCCCCTCCTGAACATGTTTCAGGCTCCCACTCAGCTCTCGTAACTACACTCTCCCACACGTGACAAACCGCATTGCTTATTGCCCTGACCAGACGCCCATCTCATTGCCGTTATCTCACTGCCCTCCTCCTGCCACACCTTCAATTCCCGTCTAAAGACCCTTCCTTTTTGATCGTGCTGATGCTCGCCTCCCACCTCCCTGTCCTCTTGGCTCCTTGTCAGACTCCGCCACTGTAAAGTGCTCCGGGACGCTACCCCGTGTGAAGGGCGTTGTATATTTACAAGTATTTACAAGTTGTTGCTATTAACATCCAACCAAAGAGCCTTCAATGGACACAACTGTTCCACATTTAAAACCATCAAACAGAATCCCAATGGATCCTATCCCTTCACATTCACTCCCTGTGAAAAATAATAACCTTTGCATTTGATATAGTGCCTTATAATGTTGTTGAAATGCCTGAAAGCGCTTCACAGATTATACTGAAAAGTGCAGTGACTGTATTTTGTGGGAGAATCGCGGCAGCCAACAGCGTCCCACAAACAGCCAGTGAGTGAGTGACCAATTTTATTTGGGGATTGTTGGCCAGGACACCGGGAGAGAGAGAAAAACTCCCTTCTTTTTTCGAATAGCGCCACAGGATCCTTAACGTCCACTTGAACAGGCAACAGGACCTCGTTTAATGTCTCATCCGAAGGATGGCACTTCCAACAATGCCACCCCCGCCCCCCACCAAGCACTGCATTGGAGCTTAGACTATGTAATTCCAAGTCCCGACGTGGGGCTTGAACCCACAACCTTCTGACTCAGAGTCGAGAGAGAGAGAGAGCGCTACCACTGCTAACGTGGAAGATATTCCACTTTCTACTCCCTCTTTTGAACACACAACAGACTAAATCCCTGTCTTTTCAACACAATCCCTGATCCAAGCACTCACTATTTCAGCCTAAAACATGACGACCTTGAATTCCGCCACTGTGTTGCTCCGTGTTTACAACCTGGACTGGTGTTAAAGTGTTATTATCCCAATTATACATTTTAATGTTGCTCACAGCCAATCTTCTGCCAAATTGCAAACAGAGAGGACCGCACAATTTAAAAAGCAAACATTTTCTTCCCCAAAACGTGCTTCTGAATGTTTCAAATTAATTTAAATTTAAATTGATAAATAAATGAACCTCTAGGCTATGGTACAAAGGTTCTCAAGCTAATTAATTTTACCCATAATTTATCTGTTCTGATCTGAGAACAAAACATCTTAGCATCTGGTGTATTTATAATATCAAACTATCCCTAATCTCTTCTCCTATACTCCCAAGTCCTTCACATTCGCAACCATTATTAGAAATTTCATCCACAAAATACACAGTCAATTCACTTTGCAGCATATTCTGTGAAGCACTTTCAGACGTCTCAATGGCATGATAAGGCGCTGTATCAAATAAATCAAATATCTCATTATGTCGGTGCAGGTGCTCACTCCCTAAATATCTACTCTAATCCCCTCTTTCCTTCAGAGGGATAAATCTAGTCTGAACTTAGAAAACCATTTTCCATAGCTTTTATAGACTAAAGCTGCACAGAACAGTTCACCAAAAACTTGGCACAATTTCAAATCTTAAGAAGGAGGAGAGGAGAAATTTTTTCGCACAGTGAGCTGTTGGGATCTGGAAGGCATGGCCTGAAAGGCTGGTGGAAGCCGATTCGATAACAGCTTTTAAGAGAAAGGTAGATAATTATTTGGGGAGGACAAGTTTGCAGGGCTATGGGGAGAGAGCGCAGGAGTGGGGTTGATCAGGGCTATGGGGAGAGCGCGGGGGAGTGGGGTTGATCAGGGCTATGGGGAGAGAGCGGGGGAGTTGGGTTGATCAGGGCTATGGGGAGAGCGCGGGGGAGTTGGGTTGATCAGGGCTATGGGGAGAGGGCGGGGGAGTGGGGTTGATCAGGGCTATGGGGAGAGCGTGGGAGAGTGGGGCTGATCAGGGCTATGGGGAGAGCGCGGGGGAGTTGGGTTGATCAGGGCTATGGGGAGAGGGCGGGGGAGTGGGGTTGATCAGGGCTATGGGGAGAGAGCGGGGGAGTGGGGCTGATCAGGGCTATGGGGAGAGCGCGGGGGAGTTGGGTTGATCAGGGCTATTGGGAGAGAGCGGGGGAGTGGGGTTGATCAGGGCTATGGGGAGAGAGCGGGGGAGTGGGGTTGATCAGGGCTATGGGGAGAGAGCGGGGGAGTGGGGTTGATCAGGGTTATGGGGAGAGCGCGGGGGAGTGGTGTTGATTAGGGCTATGGGGGGAGAGCGGGGGAGTGGGGTTGATCAGGGCTATGGGGAGAGCGCGGGGGAGTGGGGTTGATCAGGGCTATGGGGAGAGAGTGGGGGAGTGGGGTTGATCAGGGCTATGGGGAGAGAGCGGGAGAGGGGGGTTGATTTGGAAGCTCTTTTCGAAGAGCCGTCACAGACACGATGGGCCGAAAGGCCTTCTTCTGTGCTGTATAATTCTATGATTCTAGGAAGACCTAAATGGTCTTGTTGGTAAAGTCCAGAGGGAATAGAGTGCCTATGGAGTCTGTTTGTTCACAGTATCAGTGCTTACCCCCTTGGCTGTTTCTCTACTAGATCCTATCACAGCGTTCCGACTCATCATTATCTTTGCTGGTTAATCATTGGGGTGACGGAATAATTACCTCGCTGCCATTGACTTTCACACAAGAGCTCACACTTGTAAAAAGATATTTTTGTCTTTTTAAAGCAATCCCACCCTTCCTGGTGGAGTCCAATTCCTATCTCCACTCAGAGGGTCAGAGGGGAGGGGGGAGGGAGAGGGGTGGGGGAGATCACTACCATGGCACCTTCTAGTGTGTTAAAGGCTCCACAGTCGCGCTCCATTGGAAGGACAGTTCCACTAGCGCCCTCTATTGGAGGAAATGGTTCCATGGAACAGGACAGGGCTTGCTAGGTCAACAACAACAACTTGTATTTATATATTATCTGGTAGCGTCCCAAAGCGCTTCACAGTGGCGGAGTCTGACTATGAGTTGCGGGAGAGTGAAGGAGGTGACCGTAAGCACAATCAAAAAAGGAAGGTTTTTAGACGGGATTTGAAGATGGGTGATGAGGGCGCAAGGCGGAGGGATTGAGGGAGAGAGTTCCACTCTCTGTTACTCTTCCTAAATCCCTCCACATCGTTTTCCCCTTTCTCTCAAAACCTCAACTAAAAACCTTTCTCCTCTGACTGTCACGTTGGTCACCTCCCTCCCAAACCCCCATTTCCTTCCCTGCTCAGACACTAACTCAGTCTCTGTGAAGCACATTAAGACATTTACCTGTGTAAGAGGTAACTTATCAAATGCAAGTTATTGTTGTTATGTTTTCGGTTTGTCTGAGCAGGGTGCATCCTTCCCAAGAGAGCAAGAGAAAGAGAGAGAGAGGGGGAGGGAAGAGGGAGAGCGATTTGATTTGGACACTAGTAAGCATGGTGATATCTTTCCACGTGTGTCGCACATCAGGCCAAGATTCAGCAGCTAAAAGGGGTCACAGTAATAATTCTTACCCTAAATCGGACTCTTCCGTTCACACTGCTCTGCAGGAAGAAGCGATGTGGTCCCATCCAGTTCCCGTACACCACATCCACTTTCCCGTCCCGGTTAAAGTCGGCAAGAGTCAGTCCACGGCCATGCTGATAGGGGTCATCGATCCCTGTACATTAATGAACACAAAAAGCTGGGTTATAATGAGACCAAGAAGCTCCACGAAACCTGTAGCTCAGTGGTTAGAGCACTCACCTCACAAGTGAGAGGACCCGGGTTTGATTCCCGGGCAGGGCGAAACCTTAGGAAAGTTTCCTTACTCCACATACCTCTGTTTACCAACCGGTTGTTAGTTGTTAGTCAATTGGCGGATTGCTTTTCCAGGGGTAATAATCTTTTCCAAAACATTTTTAAATTATAATAATCATTTGGTCACTCAATCCACCACTGTTGATGGGACACTGCTATGTGCAATTGGCTGCCGCGATTCACCCACAAAATAGACAGTCAATTCACTTGAGGTGTCTAGAAGAAATGATAAGGCGTTGCATCAAATGCAAGGATTATTATTAAGAACAGTAATCCTTGCAGTAACATAAGACAGTTCTCACCTGCAGAACATCTCAGCAATAACAATAAAATAAGAACCTTAATAATATGACATAAACCTACCAAAGCTTTGGGGATTGAGATTAAGAGAACTCCAGTGGGGGAGTTGACACAAAACGGACCCAATGGGAAACGGAATCAGAGAAGATAGCTCTGCCGGGACACAACATGTACAATAGAGGGGCAAGTGGTCTCCACTGGTGGTGAGAAAACGCGAGTGAAAGAGAGAAAGGAGAGAAAGAGCGAGAGTCCATTTCACAAACCAGATGTTGTCCTGAGTGCCCTATAACTTGTGTCACTTTGAATGGCTTTCACAATCATCTCAATCATGTTGAGGACTGGTAAGGATAAGATAGATGGGAACAAACAGAAATGGTCTGAGATGATCAGTAAGGAATTCTCACCTGCCAACTTTGCCTGCTCTTTGTCCAGAATACCAATTATGTTGGCTCAATCAGTCCCACTGACCGAAACCTCGGTTTGTTTCTTTCAACTAAACAAGATAATGGGAACTTTCACAATGCCGGCATTCAGTCTACAACAGAACCTATTTGGTTGTGTGAGGCACGGCAGATAAGACAGATGGACAATCCAATTAATTCTACAGATCCTGGAAATTAGGAGAAGAGAGACAAAGCTCACCACTGATTGATCGTACCGGAGAAACATCCTATTAGTTCATGGAAAGAATACTGTCCAATACTCCCGCACGATATTCAACATCCACATGAAAAGCCAGACCAGTTTAACCGATCACCCTCCTCCCTCTACCCTCCCTGCCCTCCACCCCTGCTAATCCCAACCCACAGCTCGGGTTCACTGACTGTCCAGTGCCTTGGGACATCCTCCTGATGTGAAAGATGCTGCGTAAATGTCATTTGTTGTTGTTAACATCTCATCCAAATGACAGCGCCTCAAAGCGCAGGGTCTCTCCAGTAAACTTCAGGTAGATTTAGGAGTCCTGCAGCTCAGTGATTAGAGCACTCCCCTCGCAAGCGAGAGACCTGGGTTCGATTCCCGGCAGGGCGAAACATTGGGTATGTTTCCTAACTCCACACGCCTCTGTTTACCTAGCAGTAAGTTCCAATCCCCATTGGGGGTAATAATCCCTTCAAAAAAAAATGAAAACGTTTTTATTTAATGTGGTCACACACTCCACGGCTGTTTGAGGGGTCGCTGCTGTGTGCAATTGGCTGCCGCATTTTGCCCACAAAATATACAGTCAATTCACTTTACTGTATATCCTGTGAAGCGCTTTGAGTAGTCTCGAAGATGTGATGAAGCGTTGTATCAAATGCAAGGATTATTATCATTAATTTGTTGTTGTTTAACATCTCATCTAAATGACAGCATCTCAGATAACTTAGCATTTCCTCCCTCCCCCCCACCCCAGTAAGCTTCAGTTAGACGATGAGCTCACTAATGGGGGAGCGGGTGTTGGACTTCTGATGCAGCAACGACAGCGTTACCAACGGAGCGGATTACAGCCTTTCGCTGTGAAAAACAGGTGGATTAGAAAAAAATTCTATTTAAAACGTGTCAAGTGCGTTAATGTGTGGGCATCAGTCAGCAGGAAAATTAAGTGTGTTTCAAAGAATCGCTAGATGTTAGTCCTGGCAGATTGACTTCACCAGATACAGGCTCCGTGAGACGTTTAAGGGCATCTGGAGGTTTAAAGGAGAATGCAATTATTTTGCTGCTATTAAGGCTGATGGGTGTGAATTTTTCACCCAGTGCCAGCATCAAGGATTCTCACGTCTCTCTGGTTAGATTCAGAGCAAATCTCTCTCTACATAGACTTCAGAAACGGGTCTCATGTAAGTCTCCAAGGTCAGGTATAGACAGGGTTAGATGCAACGTAAAACCCTGTGTGTCTCCAGTAACATGCCTTATTAAATACAGGGGAAACCCGAGTGCAGGACTCCTGAGGATCACCAAGATCCCAAGCATTGCCTCACTGGCTTCCCCTGCTAATAATAGACTACTTCTGGGTCATCAGTTCACCACGGATGTCATCTCCTTGCCTTGCGCGTATCTGCGGTATGTAGGAAGTGATGTCAACAGCGCTTCTTGCACATATCCGAGTAAATTGGTCATTTCCTTTCATGGCCGTAGATGGGACCTTCGCTGTGTATCATGTGCGCCCTCAAATACAGTCACTACACTTGGCAGCAATTAGCTATGAAGCACTTAAAGATATTCCAAGGCTAATGGGCACTGTAAAGCAATTATTTATGGTAGGTGGGAGGATGGGGGGGTTGGATTCTAATTCCACCATATGACCCACATTTGGGGCCTCAGTTCACAGCCTGGTTGTACAATAATATTTTACATTTGATATTATCACGTTATTAAGACGTCTCAAAGCACTTCACAGGATATATTGTAAAGTGTAGTGACTGTATATTTTGTGGGTGAAACATGGCAGCCAATTGCACACAGCAGTGTCCCACAAACAGTCATGGAATGAATGGACCAAGTTGGATTTGGAGGGATTATTATCCCCAGAAAGCGATCCGTCAATCGACTAATAACCAGGTACCTACTTACTGCTGGGTAAGTGTGGAGTGTGTAGGTAAACAGAATGTGCACACGTGTGGAGTAAGGAAACTTGCCTAATGTTTCGCCCGGCCCAGGAATGAAACCTGGGTCCTCTCGCTTGAGAGGCGAGCGCTCTAACCAATATGCTAAGCTACTCAGCGATACAGCAGATGAAAAATGTCAGCGTAAAATCAGAGACAGAGGGAAACATGACTTTGGCTCCACTCAATACACTGATACCTGAAATAAATTGCGCTATTAGACAGCACATAATATTTCTCCCCATTCCTGTCACCACAATTTCACATTAGCCTACCCATCATTCATACCACAATAATGCCACCCGATCATTTATAAGGATCTACTTCCATGTCTGGAGAGATTGATGACACCAACCTTTGCATTCCTCTTTAAATTGTTATTTCTCTCCCCCTCCCCTCTCCCCTCCACAATATCTCTCTAGTTCCTCCAATCCTTCTCTACAGCTTGGTCTGTTCACACCTGACTGTTCAGCGCTTTGGGACGTCCTCCCAACGTGAAAGGCGCTCTATAAATGTAATTTTGTTGTTGTTGTTGGTCTGCCAACTCCTCCCAGTCCTGGGGTGGGGTTGGGTGGGATGGGGTGGGGTGGCGGCGGGAGACAAGAGGGAGTCAGGATGGCAGTTTCTCATGCCCAATGGACCAGTCAATACAACAAAAACATTACATTTGTAAGTGCCTTTCACACCAATAATTAGCAGATGGTTGACCACAACTTTTGCAAATTCAGACTGCCCAACCATTGATGGCCGGATTTTCAACCACTCCCCGCGACTCACTCTCAAAACGTGTCTCTCTGTCTCGTTCACTCACTCCATTTTGAAAACCCTTCGATAAAAGCACCCTCTTTAACACCCTCACTGCCCAACTGCCCTGGTTTCTAGCCACCCCCACCAACACGTGAAGCACTTTGAGATGCTACACTATGTGAAAGGTGCTGTATAGATGTATGTTGTAGTTGTTGTTGGTTAATTACAGGAGGGCTGCCCAAGACCTCCCACACTCATGACATTAATATAATAATCCTTGCATTTGATGTAGCGCCTTATCAGGTTGATGAGACGTCTCAAAGCGCTTCACAGGATATACTGTAAAGTGGAGTTGGCAATGTTAGGCTTCCTGAGTGAGAACCTCCATAGTAATCGAGATGCTTCCTTTAATTACAAACAATATTTTAAACTGAATGTTTTAAAAGAATGAAAGAAATGAAATACAAAGGAATGCTGACAATGTTCATGAAACCTTGGGCACCCACACACCTGATAATAATTCCTCAAGAAAAAAATAAATTGGCCATTTCAATCAACGACTGTTTGTGGGACACTCCTGTGCACAATTGGCTGCCGCGTTTCGCCCACAAATATACAATCACTTTACAGTCTATTCTGTGAAGCGCTTTGAGATGTCTAGAAGACGTGAAAAGCGCTATATCAAATTCAAGGATTTTATTATTATGTACTGTTTCTGCAACGCATATTGAGATGGATTCTGTACACATCGTGATATCGTGGCTAAACTAATTCTATGTCACTTTCCCTGTGCAGATGTGTTGTACCACCTTTCCATTAACTTGGGGTGATTTCATTCAACTTTTTGAATTATAAGCGAAGGGGTGGAACGGGAAGAGGGAGAGACAAAGACAAAGATACAAATAGACAATCTGCCTCAGCAAACCTGCCCCTCTCTGTGTGTTATCTAATCTACAACAACAACAACTTGTTATAAGGATGTCCCAACAACAACTTACATTTATATAGCGTCCTTCACACTGGGTAGCATCCCAGACAGTGGCGGAGTCTGACACCCCTTACCCAGCAGTTGTCTTCTATGACCCCTCCCAATGCTTTCTCTGCCTCTAATGATTGTTGTATAAAGATTCCCTGACGGGTTATCTTATCAACAGTCTCAGGCGGCAAGTCATCGGGTGGCTGCTCTGTGCCTCACTTGTACAGAGCAGCTCAACCAGGTAACATCAAACTAAGCAGGGTTCAAGGATGCAATTTTACGCTAACAGAAGAGATTGATCCTCAAAGAGAACTCTAGTCCACAAGAGATCAAAGCACCATGACCCGTCAATCATAGGATAAGCTTGAAACTGTTGGGAATGTAATTAAGTACAAATGAAATCACATCCGATTTGAAATTAGAATTTTTTTTCTCACCCGATGAAGGTTTAAGATACCGGTCTGAAATATCACAGAGTGCCATACACTCGGTGTTTTGCCCTGTATTGCCACGTGTCTTTTCCGTGTGCTTGGGTGCTAGGTAACGGTTGATACGCTGGCGCGTTTTAATCTGCCTTTTGCAGAACCCTTACGGATCAGAGCATCAATGAGAAGAATGAAAAGAAAATAATGTTCAAATGACACAAGGAGCAAGGTGTCGAAACAGTGACAAAGGCCGAAAGGCCTTCCCGAAAATTGAGGGCCGCGTCGGGAGCTGTTCAAGGTTAGAAGGGAAGGGAGAGAAAAAGAATAGAATGTTTTACAATATCCCTTTGGAACAATTAATGGATTCTACCTCAAAAATGGATCATGGCAAAGAATTCCACATTTATTCGAATGAAATAATGAATGAAGCAAGATCACTTCAGAAAGGCTTTAGAACGCCACCTTAGAGTAGACTACACAGTCAATACTCTCAACGACAATTGTTACCCCGCTCGCCTCGCAAGAGAGAGGACCTGGGTTTGATTCCTGGGCAGTGCGAAACTTTAGACAAGTTTCCTTATTCCACGTGCCTCTGATTCCATAGCAGTAAGTATGAACCTGTTTGTTAAGTCGCCTTTCCGGAGGTAATAAGCTGTCCAAAAACAAATTGGTCACTCGTTCTACGACTGTTTATAGGAAACTGCAGTACGCAAATGGCTGCCCTGTTTCACCCACAAAACACACATTCAATCCACTTTACAGTGTATCCTGTGCAGTGCTTTGAGAAGTGATAAGGCGCTGTATCAAATGCAAGGATTATTATTATTATAATTCCCTGTAGTGTCTAAGAGGTTTGATGTTCAGTGCGGTGCATCAACAACAACAACAAATTACATTTCTATAGCGCCTTTCACATCAGGAGGACGTCCCAAGGCGCTGGACAGTCACGGATCTGCTTCAAATGCAACGATTACCAGTTAACACTTACACGTCACACTTACCGGCCTGGGCCGCTATGTCTGTGAACGTCCCATCCCCGTTGTTCTTGAACAGGAAGTTGGGGCCGTTCTCGTTGTCGCAGAATATGTCGGACCTGTTGTGGCTCACGATGGGGCCCACCACCACGCCTCGCCCTCCTTAACAAGGGAAAGAGAGACAGCGGTAGGGAGGGGGTGAAAGCTCATTGAATACCTGTAACTGGGAGCTCGCCAGAAACCCCAATTCTTCTTTCCCATGATTCACAAACGTTCAGGGGGGAAAAAAACCATGGGTTAGGCTAAGAGAAAGGAACGTGTTGGTATAGTATAAATCTGTGATTTATCTATGCTAATAATATGAAAATGTCTTCTGTTTCTCTGACTGCGCTTCTGACTTATACCTCATCAGAAAGGTGAATCTGGGAGTGACATGGTTCATTGCGTTTTTCGCTGAAGTTACACCTGTCAGCCGCCCGGTCAAAGCGACGTTGTGGTATCGTGCAGTTACTGGTGGCCGCGCTAGCTGACCGTGGCGCTGTGGCATCCTGCATCACAGAACACCCACGTAGCCAAGCAACGGCGGGAACAAAATAAAGAACACAGACGAAGCTAAGCCGCAGCAACAACAACAAAATTACATTTTTAAAGCGCCTTTCATGTCGGGAGGAAGTCCCAGTGTTATAAATTATACATTTATATTGATCATTATAAAGATGCCTAAGCGAAAATCAACATTTCAAGGATAAGTAAACATTCTAGACAAAGGAGAGACGGCCCATTAAATGAAACTGAAGAACAAAGCACAGCACGACTGCACTTCGATGCTGAAAGGACTACAACAGCGCGCCGAAATGAGTTGCCGACTCAAAGAACAGCACGGCCAAAATGAGTCCTCCCACAGGAGTCCTCCCACAGGAGTATAGATAAATGTCTTTGTCTGTGTGTCAATCTACATTCCATATTGGATCCTTTGGTTGCAAGTGAACCTGCAATGGGTAGAAGCTAGTCTGAAATAAAATTGATTCATAGTTCTCAATAAATCCAAATCACACACTTCCCACTCTTAATCTAACACGTGTGAGAGATTTTCCACCACGCTCCGCTAGCCAACCACACAGCTCACTGTTCGTTAATTAATCAGCCGTTAAACAAGTCATTAATTAAGTTTAATGAAATTCTCCTCTGATCATGCCATACACTTGTTAAACATCCTGCATTCAGCCCTTATCGCGGCCGGCCAGATGAGCCTCACTCCCTCTCCAATCACGCAGAGAATACACTCACAGTGATATATACACTCATGACCCGTTAATAAAACAGCGATTCTCTTCTTCCAAACACTGAGCGTTTGGGTCGTGGATCCTGAATTGTTTTTTGGTTCCGTTTGAATTCTGCTTTCGAGACTCGATGGAGATTGAGAATGCAGCGGTCGGGAGTTGGAATGCGTTAGGAATATGCTTTCTGACGGAAATAGGTTTCACAGCCGAGCTCAGTCTGTGAAGCATTCTCACCTCGCATAGTTGGTGGCACTCTTGCCTCTGAGTCAAGCCCCATGTTGGGACTTTGATCTCATAGTCTATGATAACACTCAGTGCAATGCTGAGCTTGTGTTCCCCTGTTGTTCATATCATGACTATTTGTGGGAATCTTGCTTTGTGCATATTAGTTGTTGAGTAAGCCTACGGAATACACAGTCACTACACTTGACAGCATTCTAACAATATTAACAATAATCCTTACATTCGATAGAACACTTTTCACATTTTGAGGACGTCTGAAAGTGCTTTACAGGATATTAGCTGCTGTGTTCCGCCCACAAAACTCATTCAATTCACTTTACAATATATTCTCTGAAGAGCTTTGAGACATCTCAATGATGTGATGAGGCGCTATATCAAGTGCAAGGATTACTGTTGAAGTGGAATGACTGCGTATTTCAAAGGTGATTTGCGCACAGTAACGTCCCGCAAACAAAATTGCAGTGTTCTACTTTGAGACGTTTTGATGTGAAGGCGTGCAATAAATATACAAGATTGTAACTTTTTTCATGAATTAAAAAAGATTCACAGTAAATACAGGAAGGTGCCATAAAATAATGATAGATGCCATCATGCCTATTATCTATCCAAGACTTTCACTTCAATCCAATATTCCATTTACTCTTTATCAGAGGTAGTTTTGTAGACAAAAAAAATCAATGGTAGGAATCAATGGAAATTAAGTGAGGTCAGATGAACAGAAGTTATTTTCTTGTAGCCTCAGAGACTGACAAGATGACTCTAGTACTTACATTAACTCCAGGGTTTATTGTCCAAGTCCACCTCATCACTTCCCTTCGATATGGTGCCTTATCACGTCGTTGACACGTCTCAAAGCAATTCACAGGATATATTGTCAAGTGGATTAACTGCGTATTTTATGGGCAAAAGCAGCAGCCAATTGCACTCAATAACACCTCACGGAGTGAGTGACCAATTGTTATTTTGGGGATTTATTAGACAGGACACTGGGAGAGAGAAACTCCCTTCTCTCTTCAAATAGTGCCATGGGATCTTTAATGTCCACCTGAACAGGCAGACAGGGCCTCGGTTGAATGTCTCATCCAAAAGCTGGCACCTCCCAATGCAAGCCTCCCCCCCCCACAGCACTGAATTGGAATGTGATATTAGACTGTGGGAGTTCAAGTCCTGGTGTGGGATTTGAACGTAACAACCTTCCGACCCAGAGGTGAGAGCGCTACCACTGAGTAGGGCTGACACAGAAAAAAGAGTGTGATTAGCTGATGGGCTGGGCCAAGAATTCTCCTTTCCAAGAGCGATGGTGTGAAGCTCTGAGCTGGTGGTCTGGAAACACTTGACATTGAGAAGAAGCAAACGAAAACCAGCTGATAGGAGAGCAATTGTGACATTGGTTTACGTCTTGGCATCCCCTCCTGACTGTAATGGCTGGTCATAAATCAGGAGGCCTTGATTAAACTCCCGAGTGTTGAGTGTAAATCTTCTCCAGCGCACTGAATCTCTCCATTATTATTCATGGATCTCCTGACATTAGATGCGTTTCATTGGCTGCAGCTGCTTTCTAATGCAATTGGCCGTGTGTTGTGGCAGGATTTATGTTGGCCGCTTCTCCCTGCGGTGTTCTGGCCCAGACCAGCAGCGACACGGCATGTGTCACACAGCCCCAATCAGGAACAGTCAAACAAACATATAGTTGGGGAACAAAAATATTCATAAAAGCGGCTCGGTTTTGGTGAGGGGGTGGGGTGGGGGGCAAGAAAACAGGGAGAACAAAGCTGCTTCTGAGAAGATCAGTTTCTTCCTTAATCGAAAACTCTTTGGTTCTCTTCATTACCCAGCATGATTACAGTGTAGGAGGCCATTCAGTTCATTGTTTGTGTGTCCTGGGGCTCGCTCCCCCACTGGAGCTCTCTACTCTAACCCCATTCCCTGCTCTCTCCCCATCGTGTCTGTGTTGGTGCTCGCTCCCCCACTGGAGCTCTCTACCCTAATCCCATTTCCTGTTCTTTCCCCACACCCTTTAATATTATTTTTTGACTATTCAACCAATTTTCTTTTAAAGCCATTTGTGATAAGTCATTCATTCCATTCTCACAACCTTTTGTGTGGATTTTTTTTTCACCTTATTTCATCTGGTGATAATCTTGCTACTCTTGCTACTGACTCACCAATCAGTGAGACTAATCTTTCTCTATCTACCCCATCAAAACCATTCATCATTTGAAGATTAACTTTGAAGACAAAAATTAACCTCTAAACTATCGCTGCTCCAACAAACACAATCCCAACATCAAGCACTGAGGAGGAGGTAAATAATAATAATCCTTGCATTTGATACAGTGCCTTATCACGTCTTCTGGATGTCTCAAAGCGCTTCACAGAATATACTGTAAAGTGTCGTGACTGTGTATTTTGTGGGCGAAACACAGCAGCCAATTGTGCACAGGAGCGTCCCACAGACAGTTGTGGTTTGAGTGACTGAGAGTGCACATGGATTTGTAAAATCTCCAACTAGCCTAACATCCATTGCGGTGACAGACATTGAAGGTTATCTCACGGCCTTTGATAAGATTCCACGTGACAGACTGCAAGGAATTAGAGCCAATGTTAGGAAATGGATAGGCAATTGGATGGCAGATAGGTGGCAGAGAGTTGAGATAAAAGGGATATTCTCTGTTTGGCGGGAATACAACACAATATATATTTACATAACAACTTTCAGGTCGAGAGGGACGTCCCCAAGGGTATGGGAAGGGGGAGTGACACACGGTCTCCAGGAACACTTTTTGGGCCGGCAGCTTTTCATCCTATTATAAATGCCTCAGATACAGAGCAGAGCTGAGCGTAGTGTTGTCACCAACAACAACACAGGATCATAAAGAGAGATTTGGATAAACAAGTCCCTTTGGCCCATTTGACCTCATTCTTCCAGAACACCCACCCTACCAAGTGAGAGGACCTGGGTTCGATTCCCAGCCGTGGCGAAACCTTAGGCAAGTTTCCTTACTCCACAATCTTGTGTTTACTTAGCAGCAAGTAGGAACCCTGGTTGTTAGTCGATTGGTGGATCGCTTTTCCAGGGATAATAATCCCCTCAAAAAAATAAATAATTTTTTACAAAAAATAATAATTATTTATTAATAATATCGCTCAATCCACGATGTGTATGGGACGCTGCTGTGTGCAACTGGCTGCCGCATTTCGCCCACAAAATACACGGTCAATTCATTTTACAGTATATTCTGTAAAGCGCTTTGAGACGTCTAGAAGACATGATAAGGTGCTATATCAAATACAAGGATAGTATTATTATCTTGCCATCACACCATGATGGGAAGCTGTTTTTCAATGAGTCCAGTGTTCTAGCCTCAATCACTCTTCCTGCTAACCTTCATATGACTGAGAGTGCTCCAAACTGAGTCACCCTGGCACTTGATTAATATGCAAAGGGTCCAGATACATAAACCATTGGAAGCTTGTTTGCAGGTGCAGAGTAATCAAAGTGGTCAATAAAATAAAATAGCATTGCTACAGCTGTATAGACAGACCTCCTCTGAGGCCTGAAATTCCATCTAGTCTCAGCTTGTTTGTTAAGACAATTTTCTGTAAAAATTCAAGACCACAGGATTACGAAAAATACCACAATTCAGTGTTAATTTGGAAAAATGAAACCAGCTTCCAAACTACAACAACTGTTTGCATTTATGTAGCCCCACTCACACAGGGCAGCATCTCAGAGTGCTTGACATTGGTCAAGCCTGATGCTGAGCCGAGGGGAGGTGACCATAATCACGGTCGAAGAGGAAGGACTTCAGGCACGATCTGAAGGTGGGGAAAGAGGGGCCAAGGGGAGACATTGAGGAAGAGTGTTCCAGAGTTTTGGGGAGTAAGGGCTGAAAGCGCGGCCACCAATGGTGGAATGGAGGGCACGAGGGAACAAGCAGGAGGCCGGAACCAGTCGAGCTGAGGCGACAGATATTAGAGTAGGGAAATAAGCACGTCGGAGAGTTAGGCAGGTGTCAAAAACTTTTTGACACATATGTGCCCTCATGAATATTTCTAAGGCAAAGTGGTCTCCGTTGGCGAAGCCGAGGTGGAATTTTGGGCGTCCGAGGCCCACGTTTGGCACAGGCTGGTCTCAGGGAGTGTCTAAAATTCTAAAGATACAGCTCCACCATTCACAAGATCAGCTCATTCAGACTCTGCCGCCCGCACACTGACCCCGACCAAACTCCGTCCCCACATCTCCCCAGCTCTGTCCCAGGCTCCACTGGCTCCTCATCCCTGAACAGATCCACTTCAAGATTCTCTCACTCTCATGTTCAAATCCTTTCACACCCTGGCACCTCCCTCCCTCTCTGACCTCCTCACTCCCCAACCCACCACTCGGTCAGAGCCTCCGCTCGACTGACACCTCCTCTCTTCCCTCACACCCTCCGCCCCACCATCGGAGGTCGCGCTTTCAGCCACTACGCCCAAAACTCTGGAACACTCTCCCTCAATCCCTTCGCCTTGCCCCTTCTCTCCCCCTTTTCAATTCCCGCCTGAAAACCTTCCTCTTTGACAGTGCTTACAACCTTCCCTCCTCACCCCACCCGGCACGGAATCAGGCTCCGCCACTCTTAAACGCTCTGAGACGTTACTCTACGTGGGTGGGGGGGGGGGCGCTGTATAAGTGCAAGTTGTTGTGGTTAAGTTGTTGTAAAAGGCAGGCCAGAAGTTGCGTAAAGATTGGCTGCAAAGTTGCCTCCACCTGCAGCGTCAGGGAGAATGCTCTGCCAGGCCTGCTCATGGCAAGCTGTTCTGAACATCCTCTTGGCTCAGCTCCCAGAGATGATTAGGTTCATCGTTAGCAAGTTGTCGTCAACGTTCTGAGCTCTGCGAAGCCATTCGTTATCCAAACGCCCAATGCTTTTTTAATGGGAACTTGCTGTTGGGGGTGTGTGCGCGAGGGCTGTGCAGTGAGCGAGAGATCGGCCTTCCCGCTCCCTTTGTTTCGGAGACCTTGAGCTCGGCAGCGGCACGGTTGCCATGGAGATCCGCTCAGGCAATGGAACGGAGAAGGTCAGGAAAACAAAGACGCAAAAGAATAAGCCATGTTTTCAGGACAGAATCCGTGCGCCATTCAATCAGTCAATGGTGCAGCCTATTCCGAACCATTGTATTTCTCCCTCCGGGCTCCGAGAGAGTATCTGGCTGGGGGGAGCCAACAACAACAACAGCAACTTACATGTGTATTGCACCTTTCACCAGCGCTTTGGTTGAGGGCCCAAAGATCTCAGTGCCCATCACTGCAGTTACCAATGGCCGAACGTGGCGGTTTGTGTCCGGCTAACCTCAGAGAACCTCTTACCCGTGTACTTGTCCACTCCGGCCTCGGCCGCCACATTGGAGAGAGCGATGATGCCCAGTGACAGGTTGCTGGCGGCTTCGTCCATCTCAATCAGCGCGTGAGGCCCCACGTTACCGTTGGCATAGTTGGCCACATACACGGAATACCGGCCAGAGCCCTGTGTGAGACAAGCAGCGTCAGACAGCAACGAGACAGTTCAGCCACACTATCATTCAGCGACTTTGACTTGATCAGATTCAGCGACAGAGGGGAAAGGAGAATGGATAGGACCGTACAGTCCTGTAGAACAGTGGTTAGAGCGCTCGCCTCGTAAGTGAGTGGACCCGGGTTCAATTCCTGGGCAGGTGAAACCTTAGGCAAGGTTCCTTATTCCACACACATGCCTCTGTTTACTTAATAATAATAATCCCTTAAAAAAACTTGAATAATTTGGTCACCCAATCCACGACTGTTAGTGGGACGCTGCTGTGTGCTATTGGCTGCGTGTTTCGCCCACAAAATATACAGTCAATTCACTTTACAGTGTATCCTGTGAAGCGCTTTGAGACGTCTCAACGATGTGATAAGGCGCTGTATCAAATGCAAGGATTATTATTTTTATTGTTATTATTACATATATCACCACAGGATGGAGAATTCCTCTGTTCATACTCAAGTTGGTGTCTACTGGTGAATCGAGTTCAAGATCCTCGTCCTCACCTTTAAGGCCATCCATGGCCTTGCCCCCCTCCTACCTCTCTGACCTGCTGACTCCCTACCAACCTGCCCGCTCCCTCCGTTCAGCGGGCTCTGGCCTGCTCCATGTCGCCCATCGGTGGCCGGGCTTTCAGCCTCTCTGCACCCACACTCTGGAACCCCATTTCACAGTCCCTTCGCCTCGCTTCATCCCTTGCCTATTTCAATGCCAGTCTCAAAACCCTTCTCTTCGACCGTGCCTTTGGTCATCCTCCCACCTCTCTGCCTTTCCTCACCCCTCTGCCTATCCTCACCTCTACCCCACCCCTCCCCCATGCTCAGGCCCCGACCCCGGACTGTTCAGCCTTTGGGACGTCCTCCCGACGTGAAAGGCGCTCTATAAATGTCATTTTGTTGTTGTTGAATCCTTTGAGGTTTTATGTCGCTCAGTTTTTGAGATCACAAGAGGTGAAGAAGACCCTGTGGACCATTTGATCTCAGCTTTCCAGAATCCCCACCTTACAGTCCTCTAAATACAACATCGAGCTATTTTTTAAATAAATGTAAGCCTTTTTCTTGAGGGATTATTATCAGTGTGGAATGAGGAAACTTGCCCAAGGTTTCACCCTGCCGGGAATCAAACCCAGGTCTCACCCTGACGAGTGCTCTAACCACTGGCTACAGGACTCCACGTGTGTTTTGTGGGCGAAATTGGGTCCCACATACAGTCGTTTTTTGATTTTTAGCCTTCACCCCTCCAGTTTAACCCCAAACTATAAGGATCTTTATCGTTAAAATTGTAATATTTTTCAATATATTCTGTCCTTACTCAAGGAACTTTGTAGAAATGAATTATAAGTCTCCCCCCACTATGGCTTTTGAATAATGGTAATTCCAAAATCTGTTTGAAAAACCATAAGGGTCTCTATGTTAAATTTCTGCTCAGTGGGAATCATTTGCAAGTCTCAAAGATTGGCGCAGCCTAGCAAGACTGTTTACCGCACTTCCCTTTTATTTTGGTTATTCAGGCATCTGACACATACAGAAACCCATCACTGCTTAAGAGTTTGCAAACCGGATCGAGATTTCCGCATATGGACACAGATATCTCCCCGTGTCTGGAAAGCGTTGTGCACTCTCTCCCTGGAGGGTGTACCCCGCTTACCCATTCTATTAGGCGCAGGTTGGTGAGAGCTAAGCCTTGGGGGAACCTGAGAATTGGGGTAACTGCTGGGGTTTAACTAATCAAAACTCCGCAGCTTGGCAGCTGAAAGAGCTGATTGACACTGCTCGTTCAGCTGGGACCACCCGACCAAATGGGTCTTTGGTTTGCACGATTGACAGGAGGTGATTGGGAAGACTCCCCAGGTGACTGGCCTGCCTCTCCCAAGCGCTGCTGATGAGTTGGTTATGTGGGTGCTGGCGCCAGGCTATCCTTAGCTGGCGGAGAGATTTGTCTGGTTAATTCCTAATGGCAATGGAGACCTCACTGAAATCCTTGGCCTGGCTGCTGACTGCTGAGTGCTTGTGAGGGGAGCTGATAAAATGACTGAAGAGCGTGTAGTTGTGGGAGTTGATTTGCTTAACATTTTATTGTTATTTTAATGATTTTCTGCGCGATTCACACTGGACATCAATCACTGAGAACTAGGCAACACGCGTGAGGCCAGTGAGGGCACGGAAAGTGAGTGAGATCCCCCAGCCTGGCTCTTTGCTGTTCTCGTGAGCAGAAATGGAGATCGTGGAACACTCCAGTCTGTGAGACCGTCATGGGCTTCTCGGGATTCGGGTAATGGACGGGGTGGGGGCTGAGTGACAGGTCTTTGTGATGGGGGTGGGGGAAGAGAAGACATTTATGCAATGCGAAAACAGCCATCCCACTGTACAATATAAAAGTGTGCCACAACCACACTCGACATTCCTCACCCTGATCATTGTTTGGGCACATTTTCCAAACAGCTCCCTCGATTATACATTTTTCTTCTTTGTGTGTACAGGACTCACACACACACACAAAGGGAGGTTTATACCTATACACACACATACACACAAAGGGAGGTGTGTATAGGTATACACACACACAAAGGGAAGGTATATGCATAGGTATACACATATCACACTCACATGTATACATACCACACACACAAAAGGTGTGTATAGGTATACACACACAAAAAGAGGTGTGTGTGTGGGTGTCTATGTATATGTATGTGTTGGATGTATATGTGAGTGTGTGGTGTGTATACATGTGAGTATGATGTCTGTGTGTGTATGTGAGGTGTGTGTGGTGTATGTGCGGGTATGAGAGAGATGTGTGTGTTGTTGATTATCCATGTGTGTGGGTGTGAGTGAGGGAATGTGTTGTGTGTGTGAATGAATGAGGATGTGCGCATATGGGAATAGGAGTGAGAGAGAGTGTGTGTGGTGTATGTGTGAATGAGGGTGTGAGTGAGGGTGTGAAGGAGGGTGTGCGTGTGTGTGCGTGAGGGAGTGTGTGAGGGTGTGCGGGGTGGTGAGTGTGTGGGGGGGGCTGGGGATGGCGGGGGAGGAGATGAAGAGAAACAAGCATTAAGCGCTAGCCCAGCCTGACGATGCCAGCCTGCGGACATCAAAGTTGTCACTGTGGTTGTCCACGTATGAATCACTGATGTATCACTGCTGTGGCTGCCAATTAGCCCCAATTTTTTGACATTTCAGAAATAACTGTTTGTACATAAATATCAATGGGTGGCCACGGCAGTGGTGGGGGGCGGGGGGAGAACGAGTATGAGAATCATACCGTGCAAAATAGAGTGTCCGTGTGTGCGTGGGGTGGGGAATGGGGGTAGGAGAGAAGAGAGTGGGCATATATTCAATTCAATCGGTCTCTTTATACACCAAATGTGTGGCCATAGCTTCGGATTGTGCCACTAATTACTTCTCATTTATACTCGAGGTGTTGAGCTGGGAGGAGGGGGGTTTGGGTGGGGGGGGGGGGAGAGAGAGAAAGAATATTCAGATTGTGTAATTTATGTGCATGTCCTGCAACTCCATAAAACCAGTCTGCAGAGATCTGCACATCTGTCACCCAATTTTCACACGTTATACCTCTGTAATGCCGGTTGCAAACAGCAATCAGAGAATGATTTTCCGAGATGGGCTTTGAATCAATTCCATTTTTTTCCCTCTTTGACAGCTCACTTGATGAACGATCTGGACACGCTCCGTGGCCCTGAAATTCCACCCGTTCTCAGCCTGCGCTCGTTTCCGAGGACGCGCGCACAAACTGTGGATAAATCCATAAATCCTCTCTTTATTTCGCCGGCCAGTTTCTTTTTAAAGAACAATGGAAAAGCAGCTCCCAAATTAAGCCGGGAGTTTACCCCTACATTGTGGCACTCAGTCCTCAGTTCCTGGACACAGGCGTCAGAGATAACGGCAGAAATTGGCATTCCCACGCCATTATAAATTGCGGTGGACGTAAAAAGATAAAGAGGAAAAGAATTAGTGGGAAAGCACCACACAAGAGTGTCGGAATTAATTGAAGTATTGAGATTTTAACCTTAGGGACGGGGAAAGTTCCCTTCTCCTGACAAAAGTCTTCTATTAATAATAATAATCCATGCATTTGATTCAGTATCTTATCACGTCATTAGGACGTCTCAAAGTGCTTCACAGAATATACTGTAAATTGGAGTGACTGTGGATTTCATAAGCCCTCTTTGTTCTGGATAAAGTGTGTGTGGGGGGGTGGTGGGGTGGGGGGGCGGCCCCTTACTCAGTAAGATTTTGCTCAGATGCACATCCACACTCACCCACCCCACCTCTCACCTCCCCATCATGTGAAATCAACAAGGAAGGTTTCACAGTCCAGTGCCCAGACAAACAGATTCCGCTATTAACAAACCTTGCATCTCTATGTGAGTTGCAACAACATCCTATCTGTTTAATTTACAGTGTGTTACAAATGCAATAAGAGGCATACGTCTGCGTATTCATTACACACTAATTATAGTGTTAATAGCAATTTGCAGCCATAATGAAATGCCATGTAGTTACAACAATTTCGCTGTGAATTAGAGTCATAATTACTACATTACCAGCCTTTCAAGCAAATAAAGCAGACATCAAGCTGAATAAGAGGGAAATGAGATCTCTGCTTGGTGCTGATTAAAGCCAGGACAACAGTCAGAGCTACAACTGGCTTCAGTGGGTTAGGGAGAGATTGTCGCTGCTCCTGATTGCTACACCCTCTGCTCACTGTTCCCCCGTCTCCAACAAAGCTAGAAGGTAAGCTGTGTAGATACTCCATGAGATCAGAGTAGAGCCTTGACTGTTAACCAGATGAATTTCAATGTGGAGAAATGCGAGGTAATGCATTTTGGTAGAAAGAATGAGGGGAGTCAATATCGGCTGGTAATACAATCTTAAGGCGGGTGAAAGAACAGAGAGACCTGGGGGTGCAGGTAAATGAATCCTTGAAGGTGGCAGGACAGGTAGATATAGCTGTCGAAAGGGCATATGGGATACTGGGCTTTATAAACAGGGACATAGAGTACAAGAGTCGGGAGGTGATGATTAACCCATATAAACACTGGTTAGGCCTCAGTTAGAATACTGCGCCCAGTTCTGGGCACCGCACTATAGGAAGGATGTTAAGGCGTTGGAAAGGGCGCAGAGGAGATTTACGAGGATGGTACCAGGAATGAGGGACCGTGATGATGAGGAAAGGCTGGAGAGGAGAGGATTATTCTCATTGGAGCAGAGAAGGTTACGAGGAGATCTAATAGAGGTCTTCAAAATCATGAGGGGATTTGATAGGTTAGAAAGGGAAAAACTGTTCCCACTGGTGGTTGTGTCGGTGACTCGAGGTCACAGCTTCAAAATAAAAGAAGCCGAGGGGAGGTGAGAAGAAATATTTTCACGCAGCGAGTTGTTCGAATCTGGAACGCATTGCCTGAAAGGGCGGTCGAGGCCGATTCGATAACTACTTTTAAAAACGCAGTGGACGGGTATTTGAGGAGGAGGGTTTGCAGGGTTATGGGGAAAGGGCCGGGGAGTGGGAGTGACATTACATTGCTCTTTTCAAAGAGCCGACACAGACTCGATGGACCGAATGGCCTCTTTTTGTGCTGTACGATTCTATGATAACCCTGTAGCCATAGTCCTAACGGCTAGGGTGGACAAGCAGCGGGAAAGCTTGCCAGACAGCGCTCGCAGTGGCAAGCTGTGTGGTTTTAGCTGGTTAGATGCCAGCAGTTACCCCAATGCACATTCTGGGGTTCCCAAACCTTGGTTCTTGCCAACCTGTACCTAATACTCGAGATGACCCAAAGCACAGTCAAGGAAGCAAGTTTGGGCAAGCTTTACAAATGGGAAAGGAAATGGTGAGTTGGAGGGACTCCGGGAGGAGTTCCAGAGGCAGAATGGCTGAAAGCTATTTGATTCAGTGCCTAGAACATCAAAATGCTTGAGAGGTAATTACTGTCTCCATAATTGTAGGCAAACGCAGCAGTCAAATTGTGCATAGCAAGATCCCACAAACATATTAAGCGACTGACCAATTTATCTGGAGGTGTGTTGGCAAGGAAACGGGCTAGAAGTCAGCCTGTTCCAAAAGATCTTACAAAGAGAACTTGATATAGTGTGATCACAGACGAATAGTGTCACACAATCTTTAACAGCCATCAAATGGGATCTTGGTTTTATGTCTCACCTAAACAATAATAATCCTTGCATTTGATGTAGCGCCTTATCATGTCATTGAGACATCTCAAAGCGCTTCACAGAATATATTGTAAAGTGGAGTCACTGTGTTTTGTGGGCGAATTGCGCACAATGATGGCATCTCAACTAATGAACTGTTGCGTTGGTATTTCTCCCTCATACCCGTGCCATGACCCACTCCGCCTTCCCCCACCTCCACAACATTGCCCGACTCCGCCACTGCCTCACCCCTCAGGCCGTCGAAACCCTCATACACACATTTGTCACCTCAAGGCTCAACTATGGAAACTCGCTCCTTGTCGGCCTCCCCGACTCTTCCGTCCACAAGCTGCAGATCATCCAGAACAAGTCATCTCCCACACCAAGCTCCGTAACCCCATCACCCCCACCCTCGCCCGGCTCCACTGGCTTCCCATCCCTCAGAGGATAGAATTCAAAATCCTCGTCCTGGCTTTCAAGCCATCCATGGCGTTGCCCCTTCCTACCTCTCTGACCTGCTGACCCCCTATCAACCTGCCTGCTCCCGCCACTCAGCGGGCTCCAGCCTGCTCCATGTCTCCTGCCCGACCCATTCTACCATCGGCAGCCGGGCTTTCAGCCTCTCTGCCCCCACAGTCTGGAACTCCATCCCATGGTCCCTTCGCCTCGCTTCAAGGTATGACTCAAGACCCTCCTTTTTGACCGTGCCTTCAGCCGCCCTCAATCCCGCTCTGCTATCCCTCACCCCAACCCTCTATATACACCCTCTACGCTCGGGTCCTGATCCCCGACTGTTCAGGGTCTTAGGATGTCCTCCTGACATGAAAGGCACTTTACAAATGTGGTTGTTGTATGGTGTGCCAGCCCCTGGATTGTGAGCTCAAGGTCCTGACCAGGGGGATGGATCCCGAATCTTCTGACTCAGAGGCTTGAGTGGTGTGTGTGGAAGTGTGGGGCGGCAAGGAAGGGAATTATCATCATGTTACCTGTCTGTCCACACACGCCACTGACCGCCCAGCGAAGCGACTTGCCACCTTACGCTCGAGATTGATCTTGTCGCTCAGAATGTCTTCCCACCTCCCATTGCGGAACTTGAAGAGTTTGTCTGTGTAGGTAGACATGCCTGAAAGCAAAGAGAAGCCAATTAACAGCCAGCCAACATGCCTTCCATCACCACCACCGCAAACCTGAGCCATTCTGTCAATCGTCACTTGCTCTCTGCCGCTATCGGAAGCACTTGATGGCGCAATTCGTGGAGCGGTTAATCCCGCAAGATGCAAAAGTCCAGGAAAAAGAAGACCAGTGAACAAATAAACTCTTCAAATTGAAGGATGGGAAAATACGCAGTCACTCCACTTCACAGTATATTCTGTGACATGATGAGGAGCTGTATCAAATGCAAGGATTACTATAAGGATAATACCGGCAGTTTGATGTTCTAGGCACTGTAGCAAACGGCTTCCAGTTTCTGGACTCCCTCACATCACACACCCACCCACCCACACATACTCTCTCTCTCTGGAACTCCATCCTGGAGTCACTCCGACTTGAAACTTCTCGTTGCTAATAGTTACTTTTTGAAGTGAGACAAATGACCAAGTTTAATCTTTTTTCAGGAGAGATAGTAATATTTTAATATTGCAGCCATTTTGCCCAAAGCAAGTTAAGCATCCAAGAAGTGACAATTATTCGCGAGTATTGTTGACCAGGACACTGGGAGAACCTCCTGATCTTTTCCAAAACTGCTTCGGGATCTTTAACATCCCTGGATGAGACCTCGGTTTAATGTCTCGGACAAACAAAGCACCTCCGACAATGCAGCCCACAACTTTCCGAGCTGAGCAGGAGGTGAGAGCGCTCAGAGGTGGGGAGGGGAAAAGGGGAGAAACACATAAATATTGGTACTAATATTTCACCCCCAAAACACACAGTCAATTCACTTTACATTATAATCTGTGAAGCGCTTTGAGATGTCTCAAAGACGTGATAAGGCGTACATCAAATGCAAGGCTATTATTATAGCCAGCGCCGTGGGACATCCTCCCGACGTGAAAGGCGCTATACAAATGTAATCTTGTTGTTGTTGTATTATGTTGTTGTAATCTTGTTGTATTATTATTATTATTAATGGTTTATTTTCATTAATATCTCCTCTGCAATCTTTTTACTGTTTGCGAAACATTGTCTAAGTTTAGACAGTGTGTTACAGGGCAGTCAGTGCCAAGAACCAAATGATCTGTTAAAAGACAAGAAGGATAGAGCCAATGAACAGTTCAGCAGATTAAAGGAAAGTTTAGTTTTCACATGTAACAATTTACTGAACTCGAAAATCTTTAGCCAGAAATAGAATCCGGTACATTTCTTAACACTGTTTTATTTAGGGGATTTGGCATATAAACATTCTGTTTTGCAATGCCCTTTATACAGTCACCACCATCTCAGATAGGAGAGGGAATATATGTGCACCTCACAAAGGTCACACAGACAATATGGGGTCAATTTGTGGGCGAAACTCAGAAGCCATTTGCACACAGCAGTGTCCCACAAACAATCATGGATTGAGTGACCAAATGATTATTAATGTATATATTTTTTTGAAGGGATATTTATCCCCGGAGAAAACAACTAACAACCAGGTTCCTACTTACTGCTAGGTCAACAGAGGTGTGAGGAGTAAGGAAATTTGCCCAACGTTTAGCCCTGCCAGGAATCAAACCTCCCGCTTGTGAGGCGAATGCTCTCACCACTCCTTGATTAGTGGATTGGCGGATCGTTTTCTGGAGGTAACGATCCTTCAAAACTAATAATAATTAGGTCACTCACTCCACGGCTGTTTGTGGGGCCCTGCTGTGCTCAATTGGCTGCTGCCCACAAAATAAACAGTCAACTTATTTTGCAGTATATCCTGTGAAGCGCTTTGAAACGTCTCAACAACACGACACGATAAGGCGCTAAATCAAATGCAAGGATTATTATTATTAGGTGCAGAGCTACATTTTCGAGAGTTAAACTGTCATTCCTGATTTTTCTCGACGATTGCATCCTCAAGACATTTTCCATCTGTTTTTAAACTCCACGTCATATAATCACTAACACAGGACGCTGAGCTGCGACACCTCACAGAGCCTGGCAGTGTGCATCTCCCTCCCACTCTCGGGCTCCCGTAAATGCTGCCAGCCAACACCTTGTGTCTCTACTGATATCCCTCCACCTCCCTCGCACAGTTCAGTTCCTCCTTGCAGCCTGTTACCGTCTGTATCTCCCCCGATGCTAATCCAGTTACTTTGCAATGTGAAGCTCACAGGCACCTCCCATCCAGTTCCCCAGTGAGACTTTCAGCACTGAATATATAGTGTGTTTTTCTCACAAAAAGGGCTAGAAATTGACAGAATAAAATAAAGAATGTTAATCCTAATTACGTTACAATTCACAGCATAGCGTGGGTAGAGGGAGAGAGAGGGAGAGAGAGACAGAGACACCCCGCTGGGAACGTCAGCCTGTAACTGGCAGCAGCCACTATGGAAATGGCCTTGTCGTATACTCAGCTATCTGTGAAATCACCGAGCCTACGGAGTGGTTCTGCAACATCAGTAAGTAGTTTCCAAAGCTTTTACAACAAGACTTTACAGATAAGCACGAGCCACAGATTTTTTTTAATAAAATCCGCAGAATTCCTTCAGACAACGGCTCAGCTGGAATACAAAGCAAGTCGTTCTATCCTGTAGTTTTACGTGTCAGTTTAGCTCAGTCAGTTTTGGTCTTGTCATTGGGTCAGGAAGTTGTGAGTACAAACCCCATATTGGGAACTTTTAAGCTCATTGTTCAAGCTGCCGCTACAGCCCAGAGCTGGGGGCGCTGGGGTGGGGGACCTTCGGTTGAGATGTTTAAATCGAGGGGTCAGTCACTGCTTGTGAAAGATCCAGTAACATTGTTAAAGAAAAGGGAAGGGACTTTGTCTCTCCTGGTGTCCAGCCCAACCGCCTGGCTGTGCGGGAGTCCAGGTCAAGTGCAAATAAATGGCTGCCTATAAATACAGTCACTACAGTAACAGCTATTCGCTGGGAAGCTCTTTGAGATTGAGACATTTGGTTCCTTGTACCTGAAAATGCATTGTTAGTGTTGAGGAAGTAGATTTCCTCCCTGCCGTCTCCATCCACGTCACAGGCCGCCACGCCGATAGCGTTACCCTGGCGGTCACGGAGGGCATAGTAAGGGGAGCTGGGCTCGTTCACGGCGATGTTGTGCAGCTTCTCCCTCATTCGGTCGTATTTCAGGACCAGATTTGGCCCATTGAACCTGTGGAAACAGAGAGAAATATTTAGGTTCAGGCGAAGGAGCATTGAATGTATTCAGGTCTCTTCCTGGCTCAGTCGCTTGCTTCTGGGTCAGAAGGTTATGTGGGTTGAAGAAGCCCCATGTGGGGGATGTTGAGCTCACGGTCTAGCCCTGGCCCCAGTGTAGTGCTGGGGGGGAACCCGACATTTACACACAAATAGAATTTCGGGCAAAACACAAAACTGAGATCCCGTCTGTTCCGATCTCGTGGTGTTATGAACAGGGAGGTGTACAATAGAAATAGACTCCACGCCTGACAATAATTACTATAAAGTCCTTTGAGATACTGTGATGACTAGACGCTATAAAAATGTCTTCCTTTCAAAATAATTGGTTTGGGTTTTTTTCTCTCCTCGAGGTGACGGATGTCAGCGCTTGAAAATGGAACAATTTCAGTCAGGGGCCCAGGGTCAAGTTCACAACCCATCTTGTGCGCTCCTCACTAACACACTGACGCAATGTAGCAGCCAACCTCCCACCCACCCAACACCTCCCCCCCCCGCCATCCACATCCACATGCAGTCTCTCCACGCTTCTCTTACTGAGTGCCTCCACAATAATCAAATAATAATAATCCTTGCATTTGTTACAGAGCCTTATCACGTCGTCGAGATGGCTCAAAGCACTTCACAAATTATACCGTAAAGTGGAGTGACTGTGGTATTTTTGGGTGAAACGTGGCAGCCAAAATTGCGCACAACAGTGTCCCACAAACAGTAATGGATTGAGTGACCAATTTTTTTATTGCAGGGATTGTTAGTCCCGGAAAGCGATCCCCCAATCGACTAACAACCAGGTTCCTACTTACTTCTGGATAAACAGAGGCATGTGGAATAAGGAAACTTGGCAAAGGCTTTGCCCTGTCGGGAGTTGAATCCGGGTCCTCTTGCTTGCGAGGCAAATGCTCTAACCACTACCCTACGGGAAGTCATAACACACCTCCCTTTTACCCTAAACTGAGAACAGTTTCTCTGATAATTCCAGTAAATTCCATCGACTGTTCACCCACAAAGGAACATCGAACAGCGAGCAGAGCGTTCCTCTAACTCTCACCTCTCATCTCCTCGGGAGCAATAAATTAAAGAGATTGACACAGCAATTTGCATTGTAATAGACTTTGATAACACGGTTTGGAGTTTTATTACATCTCACTAAGAATAGGCCTTTTCCTAAAGAAAGGGGCAGAGCCATTGAGAAAAATAAATTAACTCCATCTGTATAGTGCCCATAACATCAAACAGTCTCACAGATTTTATAGACGTTGTCTCAAATGCAAAGATTATTACTATTTCCAGGAAGACGGATCATAATAAAAATAATCCTTGCAATTTGTCACAGCGCCTCATCACGTCCTTGATACATCTTAAAAGTGCTTCAAGGATATATTGTAAAGTGAAGTGACTGTGTATTTTCCGAGTGAAACGAAGCAGCCAGTTTGTACACAGCAACGTGCCACAAACAGCCGTGGAGTGAGTGACCGATTTTATTTGGGGGATTGTTGACCAGGACACCGAGAGCGGGATCTTTAACATCTACACTAACAGGCAGACGGGACCTCGGTTTAACATCTCACCCGAAGGACGGAGACAAGGGGAATCTGGTGCCTCACCTCAGCCATGGCCAGCAACCTGCAGGCTTCATTTTTTAAATATGAATTTGAAAATAATTGGAAACTCTCCACCTCCCCCCCCGGTTTCCTGTTCCCTCAGAGTTAATGTGAGAGGGCGGCCTGGAGATTGCCCTGCATGGCACCAGGCTCCGCTGATGTACGGGAAACGCTGTGTTTTACTGTTAATCCCAGCAGTTTCTACAAATGCACAATTTGGCAGCGAGCCTGAGGCAACATGAACCGAGGGTTTATCCTGGGCTCAGTGCTTAGTCTGCCAAATACTGAGATACAGGGAGGGGGGCGGGGGAGAGAGAGAGAGAGAGAGAGAGAGAGAGTGTGGGAGTGAAACAAATAACTATTGGGCCCATCAAGGTCCCCCAACCATTACAACTGCTTGATGACGGACGCCCAATTCTGTAAAAAAACTCCACAACATTCATGACTCTCACATCATAATTGTTTGAGTCTGGTCTATCTTCTACCCATCCCCCCACCCAACCACTTCTCTCAGAAGAAACTACCTTGTGCTGTGGAGTATGAAAGCGAGAGAGAAAAATAAAATGAGGCAATGAGATCCAAATGCAATTCGCATTTAACAGGCTCGTGTTTACAGAGCATGTAACAGCCTCTCACATTTTCAACCCTGAGGTTGGGGATAGATAATAATATTAATAATAATCCTTGAAACATGGCAGCCAATTGCACACAGCAGCGCCGCACAAACAGTCGTGGATTGAGTGAGCACATTTTTTAAGGGATTATTACCCCCAGAAAAGTGATCCACCAATTGACTAAAAACCGGGTTCCTACTTACTGCCAGGTAAACAGGCGTGTGTGTGGAGTGAGGAAACTTGCCTAAGCTTTTGCCCCAATGAAGGGATAGTGTTGGGAATATCACCTGCTTCATGATCTATGGGTAAATAGGAGTAAGGTTAGGTAGGGATGACTCTTTGACATACAGATCAGAGGGACAGAGACACACAGAGAGACAGAGAAAGAGGGACAGGGACAGAGAGAGAGCAGAGAGAGAGAGAGAGGGGGTAGAGAGAGAGAGAGAAATAAAGGGTGCGATGGAGAAAGAGAGATGCAATACATGGAGACAGAGAAAAAGCGGGAGAGAGTATCTGTAGGATAGTTCTTGTTGGTAGTTTCAGTCAGAAAGCCACAAGAACCCAAACACAACATGTCTGGTTTGTAACTGGTCACCAGAGCTGTAATTAATTACCCGCACAGAACGCATTCCATGTTAATCAAACGTGTAATGCGTTACACCCAGAGAGTAAAGCACCAATTAAATCACCATATAGGGTCTGAACCATCTACAATAAGTTGATCAGCCAAACTGCACCAGCAGTGCAAACCTGTGTCTGCTTGAGGTCCTCAGCTCTCTCTCTCTCTCTCACAGTGAAAGGTAATCAAATAATAATAACCCAATTCAAGCATCTCAGTACCTTTATTACTGTAATCTCATCATCATCATAATAATCCTTGCATTTGATATAGAACTCATATTGTCAAAACATCTCAGAGTGCTCCAGAGGTAATCGCTGTCAAGTGTAGCGACTGTGTATTTGTAACTAATGTGCCGGCCAATTTTGCGCACGCCAAGGTCTCCACACAAACAGCTGTGAGGCAAATGACTAATTAATACGGAGGATTGTTGCTCAGGACACAGGGAGAAATTCCCTTTTCTTTTCCAATAGGATCTTTCCGATATAACTGAGCCTCCGAAGGATGGCACCTCCCTCCCATGTCAGCCTGGACTGTCTGCTCAAAGTCCTGAGGTGAGGTCAGGGGGGATTTGGGGGCTTGAATCCACAACTTTATAACCTGGAGGGCAGAGGGCATACTGCGCCAAGCTGACATTTCTCAACTTTAAACATGAAAGTGAATATAAAAATCCGTGTTTAGTCTGTTATTTGAGGGCAAGGTTCGCAGGGCATTCAATGGGAGGGGGTGGGGGGGGAAGTGGCCAATTGAGTGTCCTTGCACAACAACCACATGGTTCAGTAGGTGGGGGAAGAGGGGGCATATCCCTGGATAGCAATCGAGAACAGGAACCCTTGCCTGATTTTCCCCTCCAGTTAGCATCAACCCAGATGAAGACTATTATGCCCATCGAGCCTCTGTTGGTGCTCCCTCCCAACTGGAGCTCTTGAATTCCATTCCCTGCTCTCTCCCCATCGTGTCTGTGCTCGAGGGATTCCCATCATGTCTGTGCTGGTGCTCACTCCCCCACTGGAGCTCTCTACTTTAATCCCATTCCCTGGTCTTTCTCACTCTCTCTATCATCTCTAATAGCTCACTGGCTCCCCATTCTCCAGTGGATCGAGTTCAAGATCAAGTCCGCCTCAAGCCTTCCTCTTTGACCGCACTTTCAGACAACTTTCCCCTCACCCCTACTCCCCCGGCCTCCATTGCAAACCCTAGAATATCCAGCAAACTTGGGCCATCCTCCCGACCTGAAAGGCACTATATTAATGTAAATTGATATTGTATTGTGCTGGTACTCGCTGTCCCACTGGAGCTCTTGACTCTAATCCCAATTTCCTGCTCATTCTCCAGGGTGCACTTTTATATCGTTCCTCCTAAAACCCTTATCTAATTCATTTTTTAAAAAATGTTATGGTCTCAGCAACAGCCACTTGTCAGCGCAGAGCAGAGTTTGTCAGAGATTTCATTCCACAACCACCATTTGCATGAAATATTTCTATCTAACCTCTTCTTGAACTTCTCCAGTAATAATCCTGAGTTCATGCCCCCTCGTGTTACCAGCCACTGAAATGATCTTTCCTAATCTAACCTCTCAAAACCTTTCAGAATTTTGAAAGCCTCCATCAGATTGCCAATTTTTCAAGCCTATCCTTTATAACCTTTGTATCCTTTGTGGAGTCCTGTAGCTCAGTGGTTAGAGCACTCGCCTCGCAAGCGAGAGACCTGGGTTTGATTTCCGGCAGGGAGGCGGGGGGGGGGGGGGGGGGGTGATTGCTGTGCGCAATTGGCTGCCGTGTTTCACACACAAATATATAGTCAATTCACTTTACGGTCTATTCTGCGAAGCGCTTTGAGGCATCTAGCAGACGTAAAATGCAAGGATTATATTATTTATTAACCAGCTCATTGGCGTATGCGGAGATTATAGAGGGAATGTATCCACACACGGTTAATGTCCTGTGTGATATTTAACATTGGCTGCATCCAGCACAAGTTTATTGATCACAATTCCCCAGTGGCTATTGCTTTCTGCAACTGCAACTATCATTTACACATCGAATGGGAATGCTTACACGCTCGAGACTCCATCAGCCTCTCAACACAGTGATGTTCTACTCCATCTCAATGCAAATCACTC